AATCGGCGTATTCAACGAAAGGCAGCCAGAGAAGCCCACAACAGTGGACTCTGCACCTATGCAGACGCTGCACTTGACGAAGCCAATCAAGGCCAGGCAATTAACGTTACGTGCCGAAACATAGTATCAAGACACGTCAGCTCTATCGATGCAACGGTAGAAGCAGCCGGCCAGTTTACACAACGCGTGCTACAGCACGTAGAAACATATGATGAAGAGGAACCGTGGAGCACGGAGTTCCTACCAATCGTGGAAGTCCTATTCAGGAACTTAAGCGGCGACGAAACAACTGTCATACATGACAATCAAACGGTAACTATGCCTCTTGCGAAATACACAGACCTCCTCAGAATCGCACAAGCATTGCGAGGCTCTATCCAGAGAGACAAGGAGGAAAGAAAGGAACATCTTGACACCATCCAAGATACTCTATCCAGAGTGGAAATCCTTCTCGCAGCACTGAAGGACTCAAGGACAGTCTTCAACCAACTGGTCCATTCCTCACTAGAGATCGAGCGAAGAAATAACAATCTCAAAAATGTCCTCGAGACACTCTTTGACGACCAAAGCTCTGAGGAAGACCAATCAGAATCTGACAATGAAGAAGTCCTAACTCCTTCTGCACCACAGTACTGGAATAGCCTTTATGCCCACGCCTTATCTCCCTCAGGAGATGAAAGTGAAAGATCATGGGCGTCCTCAGACGGACAGCTTGAAAGAAGAAGGGCTGAACGGGCAAAGGCTAAGCAGCCGCAACCGGCAAAAGCCAAGGCAACTCCAGTCAGCTCACAAGCTGCTCCAAAGGCCGAGCCAAAGGCGACAACATCCAACCATGGATATGATACTGCAGATGCCGCCTTCACCAGGGCTGAGAATAGATTACTCGGAATCTTTTCAAGTTCCGAAGAAGACCACTCAGACCCGGATGAGCCACATCCGAATGTCTACGCTCGAGCCTATGATCCAAACCTGGATCCGAATCTGAGATAAGAAAATTCTCAGAGTTTCACAACAGTGAATCACAAGGCTCTAACAAGAGCACAATGAATGGCTGCATAATTCGGTAGTAGAACATCACCAGACCTGATCTTGTACAGATGATCTCTCTGACAAATATGCATGAGTGTGTGTGCAAAATGAGTGGAGTGTCCTCAGCAGTGTACTTCAGTGCTATACCTAGCATACCTAATATGCTGTTTTTATAATGAGTCCAAAACTCCGCAACTGTGACAGTGGGCATAACAGTATATGTGTGAATGTGCGGCCATGCTTCCGGTAAAAGAAAATTAGTGTCTGTTTGAAACCATAAACCTCTAAAGGGGTAGCTCTAACAGGTACCTACAGCAATGGCTGCATGCTCATACATATACATTCCGCTGCCCATTGGCTCACAGTGGTTTTACCATATTGAGACAAGACAAGCTCTCCTTGCGTAGCAAGACAAAACAACTACTGTCCGTGTGCAGGGCGCTGCCCTTTGATCCTTAGGGAATAAACTGGTCATACACCTCCTTACAAGGAGTATCCCTTGGGGGTGTATCGGCACACCCCCCCAGCCCCCCCTTCAGGCTACCCTTCAAGCCCCCCTTCAAGGGTCTGACCCTTCAGGCCCCCTTCAAGGGGGGCTTGAAGCCCCCCTTCAAGCCCCCCTTCGTCGAAGGGGGGTGGGCCCAGCCCCCAAACTCCCGGTCTTTGCAATTGCTCTTCACTGGTCCAGGCTGACTTCTGCGCTGTTTAAACGCTGTCTGAGTCTCTGAGGTGGAGGACTGTCTGCGTCATCGCCAGGTTAGCCGCAACAGCTGACAAACTTCTACAGTTGCTGGACTGTGTGCCGGTGCAGTTGTTGTTCTTTCCTTTCTTGCACGGGTTTGGTGGATGACCTTTGCTGGAACTCGTGCGCATTTCCCAGTCGTCAGAATGCATTTCCTTGAGATGCGGTTGTGGTGGAAGCCTGCATCCTTGTGGGCGGCCCCAAATCGCCGCACGGCTGATGGAAGCTTCCATCGTGGTTCCAGGTGTACTTCGACCGTCAAATGTGTTCTTACAGCCGGGGTTTCCGGTCTGTGCGCCACGCCCCGCCCATTTCAACGCGTGGGACACGAGCGAGGGCGATGAGACCCTGCGACGGACGCGGCTGGGAGACCCTAATGGCCAGGAACGCTGGAGAGATGAATTGGACGGGGGAATCGGCCCAGGCATTCAAATTCCGATCATCTCTACTGAGCTGATGCCGCATCTCCATGAGTCGGATTCAGGTACACACCGATATGGTTTTCACCGCCTACAGAAGCTGTATGAGCAGCGCAATTACCAAATGTTGTACCTGTTGCGCGAATCCCACTTTCCGACCAGTGGCAACAACATCTGGATTCTTGGCCGTGGCCTTCGACACTGGATTGTACCCAGTGACGGTGTTGGCCGTCGCATTCAGGAAGACCAGAGCCATCCTTGACCAGCGACATAGGTCGTAGGGTTCATTTCCTGGCTCGTGCCGCTGGTTGTGGATTCCACCGTGGACTTGTGGACTTTGTGTGCACGATCGCGACACAACAGGACCCCGGCTGACCGTTGTTCGACGGAAATAGAACGGTGGCCGGAGCTCCGACTTTGGGCTCCACCGGTGGTCTTGGACAGCTCTAGGCGACGGCCTTTTGCTGTTGTGGATCGGTCGCTGAGGCCCCGTAGCTCGTGCTGAACGGCCAACACCGGCAAAGCCTGTGCGCCGCAGTCGAGTGCTGCAGCCGTAGTCGACGAGGCCCGCCCACGCCAAAAAGAGCATCTTGCGAGATTTCGGCTTGCCAGTTTCCTGCTTGGGCTTTTCGACTACACCGCTGCTTCAGCTTTCGATCCGGAAGGTCGAAGACCCCGGATGCTCTCAACTTGCAGAGCAGCTTTCAACTTGCAGAGCAGTCGAACTTCCGGCAAGCCGAAAAAAGAGAGAAGTGAGCGAAGCCACTTTGTCCTTTGAGTTCCGCTTTGCAGCTTAGCAAACACCTCGTAGCCTTTTTGTGTTGCGTGGTGTAGAACTGTCCCGAACGGTTCCTGTGTTTACTCAGGGTTGTTTCGGCAGTAAGCCCCCGGCTCAAGTTTGTTTTATTCGTAGCGAACGCTGTATTTTTCTGCCATGGACCTGCGTTGCATGATTTTCCGGATGCCATGTTCACGACTTGTGCTCTGGTGGATTTTGCTGCGAACCAACTTTTATGGTGCGAACCAGACGCAACCCAGATTTTGCATTGAACCTGCAGAGCTGCGAACCTTTTGCATGTGCAACACTTTCTGTGGCACCTGCTTCGCACTGGCTGAGCAAAGCAGTGTTGCTGGGCGGGCGTGGGCCCTCTCGACTCGAGCAGGTGTGCAGGACAGCAGTGTTCGGGCCTTTCCACACAGGTTCTGCAGCCATCTCTGGAGGACACCTCCTGGGCCGGCCGTGAGTGCATATGCCGCTTGCGATTGCGGCAGGCCCTGCTCTTGCATGGGTTCTCTTCCCACTTGTGAGCAATCAGGTGCCCGATGCTGTGCGGTCAAGGTGGGACGCAATAAATTGTGGAGCCCGTGGGAGGCTCACCTGCTTTTGGAGGTTCACCTCCGCTGAAGCTGACGGTCAGCCTTAAGCGCAGAGCTTGGCCTGTTGCACTCTGGCACCCGGCCTGTCTTCTGATTTCCAGGAAGTGTGGAGCCAGACAGCCTGCTGGACAACCAACGGCTTGCCCCTTCTCTTTCCCGTAGTATTCACTGCTCCTTTTCCATGCCTCACGCGCAGTGAGCGCCCTGCAAGAAGCGCAGAAGAGGTTCACAAGCGATTCACCAAGCCAGGAACTGACAGGAACATCCCTAGATCTCAACAGAATGGACTTGACTAAGACCACACAATTGCAGAAGCGAAGCGCGTTGCTGACCTGTCAGGGTGGTCATGCTGTGCTTTCCATGTCATGCCTGCATTCGCTGTGCCACATGTTGCTGCACTTACGCAGCTCCGGACTGCTCATGTTGCATATGGGGCACCATGGTATCCGGGATGGTCCCAGGGGGGGGGGGTTGGAACCCAGGTTAAACCTGGGTCCAAACTATTTCTTTCTTCAAGGGCAGGTTCGGAAACCTAGGTTGGACCTGGGTTCCGGAACCTAGGTTTCAAAACCCTGGTTTGAACAACTATTTCGAAGACGGAGTTGTTCAAACCCAGGTTTGAACCTGGGTTCGGAACCCAGGTTCGAACCCTGGTTTGAATCTGGGTTGAACGTCAGGTTCAACTGGGTTCTAACCTGGGTTCAACCTGGGTTGGAACCTGGGTTTAAACCTGGGTTGGAACCTGGGTTGGAACTTGGGTTGGAACCTAACCTGGGTTCAACCTGGGTTGGAACCTGGGTTTAAACATGGGTTGCAACCTGGGCTGGAACCTGGGTTGGAACCTGGTTTGAAACCTGGGTTTTGAACATGAATTAAACTGCGTTTGAACCTGAATTGGCGGAAGTGTGGATTAAAATCTGGTTTGCAACTTGGATTTGAGTTTTTGAAGAACAGACGCTGTCTCTGATTTTTCATGTTTCTGCTTGTCTGTTCACGTTCTTTTTGTTAATTTTTCGATTCGTTGGTTTGGATTGGATTTGGAGTTGAAGGTTCACGGACGGTTTAGGCGTTAAAGGCGCGGGGATTTTTTACAAAAAAGGAGGGGGTTGGAGGGGCGCAGCCCCTTCCATTTTCAGGTCTTCGATTTCTTTCATTTGCGTTTAAGCCCCCCAAAGCGATTTCGCCTCATTCAGCTCCGCGGTCACCGTGGCTGTGGGAGGCCCGGTCAGTGGATTGTGCAACATTGGATGCTGCGTTGGTGCTGGCAGTTCTTATCACTTCTTGCATGTCTGCCGCCAGTGAGGGCTAACAGCTGTGACGTTCCGCAGGTGCATACAAGGCAGTACCCCTCAGGTTGCACACCTTTAGGACCCTTGGGACGCACACCCTTCTCCTCCTGTGCTGTGCTTGTCAGTCCCCCGGGCCGTGACATCATGGATGCTCGTGCCAAGACGAAACAGCAGCGTCAGAGGAGTCGACCCCCGAGTCGCTTTCGCTCGGGCCAGGTGAGTGCCAGCTTGTGGAGACCGGACGACCCGGAATTGGGACGGCAGTTGGAAGCCGCTGCGTCCCCGCCTGCCGGCTTGCCGCAGATGGAACAAGGTTTGCCGTTGCATCCGTCCCCCCTTGCTGCCTCATCGGTGGAGTCGGCCATTGATGATGATGATGCTGCTGTGCCGGGCACTGGCTCTGGCTCTGGCTCAGGCTCCTGCTCCGATCAGACGTCTGGGCTACGAGAGCTGCCCCCACAAGCGCCTCCCCCTAAAAGGCTGCGGCATCAGCCACCGGCTCTCACGGGGCACTTGGATGACAGCCCAGAGCTCGTGCAGGATGTCAGGGATTATCACGGCTACACTGCTTCCCAGGCCACGCCCACTGGACACAGACCCTGGACACGGCATTGATTCCCGCACCTAGAGAGCCGCGCCAACTGGCTGGTGGCTGACGCAAGCCGCCCTAGGGTGACTGCCATTGGGGCAACACCGGTCACACAGCAGGCAACAGCTGACGTGATGGAGGCTTCTGCTTCGACTTCGGCTTCAGCTTCCGCTTCAGCTACAGATCCAGCTGGTACTCCTGGCGCTCTGCAGTCCCTGCCTTCAGCACAGGATGTCTCGGACGATGAGTCCAGCGATGGCCCAATGAGCTCCCAACGGGAGGATGAGTCACGTCTGCAGTACCTAAGGCGATGTGCCGATTATTGCAGACACAGAGCAGACGTTACGAGCGCAGACAGCGACGACAGCAAAAACAAAAGCCTTTATCCCGGCCGTTGCCGCCTTCATGCGTGTTTGGAAGCTTCTGTGTCACCATGCTCGTCCTATGGAGGCTCACCTCCGTGCACGTCTCAAGCGGATGCCCCGGCTCCGCGCACCCAGTCATTGGCCTTGTCAGTGGGATTGCTGTAGTCTGCGCTGCCAGGGTTCTCACTCAGGTCCTTTCTTTATGCAAATCAGGAGTTCTCGCTACCTTTGACCGAAGCCAGCCCGGTCCCAAGTCCGGGAGGAGTCGCTGCAGCGCACGCAAGGGTCTATTAACCATTATGCTTTTTCTTGCTTGTGTCTGTAGGGCTTCTGGGGTGAGGGTTTGGGGCTCTGCTGTCCAGCAACCCCATGAAGCTGTACGACCAGTAATGCAGCCGATCCCTCATAGAGCGAACCAACACGGAATGAGTCGCGGGGCCATTTGTCCTATCACTTTTACTGCTAAGCGCTCCTTTAAGAGAGCACAGAATCGTGCCGCCCGTTATGCTTCTTCACCTGTAGTTTTTGCGCTCGCATTGCTGCTCGTTGGTCCTCTGGGACGGGCAATGCGATGCAGTAGATCGCACTCTTGAAGTGCCGCATGTGTCAATAGTGCATATGTGTTGGCGACACGCCTGGTGAGACTCTCTCTCGCTGCGTACGAAAGAAAAAGTTTCGGCAGTTCTTACCCCGCGGCCCCGCTTGGGTTCAAGCATACACCACGCAACAGCAGCTAGCTTTGCAAAAAACTTTCCCGCCCGCCCACACCTTTTGGGGCAGCTTTTCAGCACAGGGAGCTTTTCAGTCATAGCCCGCTACTACCTATCGTACTGCTTTCCGCTTTTGCTGGCTTTCTTTCCACCTTAACTTGCTTCAGTCTGTTCTGCTGAACGATACGGGCTTTTCGACTGCTCCGCTGCTTCAGCTTTCGATCCGGAAGGTCGAAGACCCCGGATGCTCTCAACTTGCAGAGCAGCTGTCAACTTGCAGAGCAGTCGTACTTCCGGCAAGCCGAAAAAAGAGAGAAGTGTGAGCGAAGCCACTTTGTCCTTTGAGTTCCGCTTTGCAGCTTAGCAAACGCGTCGTAGCCTTTTTGTGTTGCGTGGTGTAGAACTGTCCTGAACAGGATTACTTGCTGCCGGCAGAGCGGTTTTGGGTGCGCTTGCCAGCCAAAAGGGGCGTGGCATCTGGAGCAGCGCGGCTGACGCCCTTCGGCGGCGTTCTAAGTGGTTAAGTTTACCGCGCGCGACGCCGCGCCCGGCATCTTTTTCCACGAGAAGAAGGAGGGCCCACACGAAATCGCTTTAGGGGGCCAAAGAATAAAGAGAATACAAAGAGAAGGCACTGGAGGGAAAGAGCATCCAGCCGATTCGTCCTCCTCCTTTCTCTCCCCAAAGTGTGCCTTCTCCTCGTATTTTCTTCGCTTTTAACCCCTGAAACCATTTCGTGTAAGCTTCCATGTTCGAACCCGATTCGAACCCTGGGCTGCACGTGTGGGAAAATTGGTCAAAGTGACTTGCGTGTGCTGGGTGGTGGAAAGCGCCTTCCCGTTTGCAGCAGTACGGTGGTCCCTGAAACAGTTGCAACAAAGAGTACACTTGCTTTCTTGTGATCCTGAATGGAACGGTCTTGAGATTGATATCACGCACATTGCGGAAACCAGAGCTGCCATTCCCGGGCTTGACAGTTGCGAGGCTATATGGTTATGCGGCAAGCTGACTCCAAACAAAAGCGATCGAACTATTGCGACAAGAACAGAAAAAGAACAAACTGCAACGCCCAGCACAACACCAAGGTGAGACCAAGTCTTTCTGCATTCCAGAAAGACGCACAGACTTGGAGATGCACAGACCAATGCAAAGCTCCAAAGACCTTTTTGTGCAAGCGCCTGGTGGTGGCACTGATACCTGCTACCCAGCCGAGCCACCGCCGCCCTTCTGCTCCATCTTCCATATGATTGTGAAGTTTGCACACTCGAACAGTCGCGGGCAATCACTTGCGCTCCTTTGCTGGCAATCAGTGAAGTGTGTACCGGAGAGTATGTTCCATCTATTTTTTTGGAACGGAGGCTTGATCCAATTCAAAAATCTGCAGCTCTTCAAGAGGGCTTGAGAAAGGAACTTCAAGCCCCTTGGAGAATTGTGGACTCCGATGTTCCAAATTGAATTCGAGAAGACTTGCATGAACGCTGGTGTCAAACTAAACTATGAGGCCATTGCGCATCTTGATTGGCGTATAGGCTTCTTTCTATCTTCGGCGAGCTGGATCTGTGCGCGCGACTTAGTTGACATGCGTCTGAATGGGAGGCACTTTTCGCACTCAGCTTGTGCTCACAAGTTCGTGGTGTCGCTTACGCGCTGCACGCCGGTACAGGCATGGGACAGGTCTGGAGGGTGTTCGTGCCGTTGGGCAATTGCGAACCATTGCGGGGCCATGTTGCGGCCATTGCGCTTCTCCCTCTTTTGGAAAAGCAGGGTCTGTGAGGTGGGACCCAGTGCGGCTGTTTATGGCGCCAGAAGGATGCTGCGTCAAGCCAGAGGAGTTTGCCCGCCCACGTATGCGGGTTAAAGGCTGGATGGGCACTTCCAGTGCACCTGACTCGCTGGCGAGAGTGTTCATGCCATTGGGCCATTGCGCAACTCGACTGAGAGGCCATGTTGCGGCCTTTGTGCTCTCCCTCTTTGCGGAAAGCAGGGCCTTATGAGCTTAGCTGCTTGGCTTTGAACATGCGGCCATTGTGCAACTTGTTGCGGGGCATGAGCGGGGCACTTGGTATAGTGGAGCTGAACGACCTATGCCTTAGTCTGCACGTCGCAGCTTGTGGTTTCACCGCTTATTGGATCGTACAGCTTCTTGCAGTGCTTGTTGTCTTCTTAGCTTCTTGTTAGGACCGAATGCGGCAGCCGCCGTCGACGAGCCTTGTTCACGCCAAACAAACCCTGGCCCAGGGTTCGAATATACGTAGAGTTCCCCGAACCCCCATGTGTTTCATACGGATGTCCGCCCACTCGAGTAGCACCTCCCATCCTGTGCCTCCACTGCCACTCGTCATGGACTTTGGACTTTGGTGTGCACGACTCGCAAGAAACAAGACACGAGGGTGGTCCGTCGTCCGACGGGACTAGAACGGCCACCGCGTTGTCCTGGGTGGCTTTGGATGCCGATCCACTGTCGCCTCTGCTGAGTCGCTGAGCGAGGCCCCATTTTAGTTGCTGAACAGCTCCTGCTGACGAAGTCCGCACGCTGCAGCAGGTACATAGTCTCGTTCGCTAATTACCCCGTTTCACCGCTGTTTTCTTGTGTGTTTGTTTGTTTAACCGTAGTTTTCTGGGACCGAGTGCTGCACTCGCAGCCAACGAGGCCCGCCGACGCCAAAAAACAAACAGCCCCATTTGTTTCGAATGGGCCGTCTTTTTTTCATATCACATCAACTGAATCAGTTGTCAAGCGGGCGACAGTGTGTCGGTCACTCTAGGGTTCGCCAGTGATCACAGCAGTCGTCGAAGCGACCAGCTGCTTTGCCGTCGCTTGTGCTCCATTGTCATCATGTTAAGCGGCAACATTCTACCTGGGGTTCAAAACCGACGCACTTCGCATGGTCCACACGAGCGTGATGACTTCATTCATCCAAACAAGTACCCTTACCATTGTCTTTGGCTGCTTCTGCGTCTGGTGACATTGAGCCCGCAGAGCTTGTATCTGAACTTTGGTAAGCGTGAAAATTCACCTTTCAATTCCACTTATCACATGAATGTTCATCCTCGAATTTTCTTGTTTCCCCAATAAATGATTGAGCAATGGCCCGCTCAGACGCTGGAAAGTACTTAGGAGTTGATCTGGACACACGCGATGGACAGCCCGTGCAGATTTCTATCGTAGACTTTGTTTGTTCATTAGAAAGTTTACGACACATATTCAGGTCCTCGAACTTCCCACAGGGTCATTAACCCTTCAGCCGCACTGTAGACGAGTCACTTCTCCTTCTCGTCTCACACGGAGTTTCACAGCAGTCTCTGCCTTGCCGACAGTCCCTGCCGAATCATATCGGCCCACGTCGCTCAGCAGCCTGGGCGAACCGAATCTTCAGTAATGGCCCACACACCAATCGGTTTGCCAGTGTGTGTGAAGGGGAGTTCTGCCGATGCCATACGGCCTGCTTCACTGGGTGCATCGCTCACAGATTCAGCAAGGCCAACAAGACTGCTTGAATGATAAACACAATGATGAAGCCATGCCTGCTTTCTCGAATTGCGAGTTTTTTTACCAATTTCTTCGTTGCAGGGGCTTGAAGGAGTTTTCGTGTCGCCGCGAGCAATGATGACGTTGGGAAACAGTTAAGATGATGCTTCGATTTTATTGTTGCTGTTTGTTGGGCCGCCGCATAACGATTTTTGAACTTCCGTTGGATAAAGCACTTGTAGTATTTCTGCCGCAGGCCGGTGTTTCGATGCGTTCTGCTGCTTCTAGTGTCGGTCATCTCTTGACGGATGTTTGACAGTGTCGCAAGTACGGCTTTCCTGTCGCTTTCCGCTTTGAACAATGCTCGCTGCTCGCATTTTCGGTTGTCGTGCCGGAAGTTGAGTGAACGTCGTGGGAGCTGTGGGTTTCCGCGTGATTTATTCGTAACGTCGTAACGGCCGTAGCTGTTTTGTTGAAACTTGAAGATGCCAAGCTTAAAAGGCACCGGGAAGCCCCCAAACCCGTCCGCCGTGGTTATCCTTGTACCACCGCCACCGCCGCTGCTGCTGTTTCTTCCGCGACCTTGTTCAGCTACTATGCAAAGCCATCTTTCCGAAGCGTTGTGCTCAATGAAACGTAGATGTTCGTACTTCCTTGCCATGGAAGGTTTTCAGGTTGGCCGCGTGCCTGCAACACCGGTGAGAGCAACAAGCTCGTCTCTCGGTTCATGCTCGGCATCGAGCCCGCGCGGCCTCAATAGGAGAAGAGATTTGTTTGCAGGCTCAGAAGCTGGAACACGCTCCCGCATTCCCACATGGCTTGTTGTAGCAGGTGTTGCGCAAATCGGACGAGCTGTGTCGAGGAAAGCGCGGCTGACGTCTAGGCAGAAACAGTGGCTGCTTCAAACACGGCTCTCGTCAGTGGCATGTTTCGCTGCTGGGCAAGACTGGACTCGCCGAGACCAGCTGCTGCAAATTGAAGAAAACATGCAGCAACTCTGGGAAGAACAGAAAGCTTACGAGATTGATGCGCCCGAAGATGCGAGCACTTCAACAGAGAAGTACTTTGTCACTTTTCCCTTCCCGTACATGAACGGAAAGCTTCACCTCGGCCATGCTTTTTCCATCACGAAGGCAGAGTTTGCAGTTCGCTTCCAGCGTCTCCAAGGAAAGCGAGCCCTCTTCCCCTTCGGCTTCCATTGTACCGGCATGCCGATTGCCGCAGCCGCATTGAAGCTGAAGGAATGTATTGCTCAGAGACAAGCAGGAAACAACGGAGAAAAGGAGCCTGTTTTGCAAGCAAAATCAGCAGAAAGTGACGGTTCTGGCGAAGAAGCACCGGGTGTTTTCAAGGGCAAGAAGTCAAAAGCTGTGGCGAAAGCAGGTGGCTTGGATCAGTATGACATCATGCTTGCACTTGGGATCCCGGTTGAGGATATCCCCAAGTTTACGGATCCGAAGTACTGGCTGGAATTCTTTCCGCCTTTGGCAGTTAAGGACATGAAGAAGTTCGGGGCGGCAGTAGATTGGCGCCGCACGTTCATTACGACGGACCTGAACCCCTACTTTGATGCCTTCGTTCGGTGGCAATTCCTCAAACTCAAAGAGAAATACCTGGCAAATGGCAAGCGTCAGACGATCTTCTCTATCACCACTCAGCAGCCGTGTGCCGATCACGACCGGTCAGAGGGGGAAGGTGTCAACCCTCAAGAATACACTCTGATTAAACTGAGGGTTAAAGAATTGCCTGAAGATTGGACGTCGGTGCTTGGAGACGGCAAGGTCTTCTTGGTGGCAGCAACCTTGCGACCCGAAACCATGTATGGGCAGACAAACTGCTTCGTCTTGCCAGAAGGTGAGTATGGTTTCTTTCGTATGCGTGGAGGAGACATTTTCGTCTGCAGCCAGCGCTCCGCACTGAACATGTGCTACCAGGACTTGGCGGAGAGTGAGGACATGCAGCCGGTTTGCCTGATGACAAAGACTGGTGCAGACCTGGTTGGGCTTCCACTCGATGCCCCGCTGTGCCAGTACCCTACAGTTCACGTACTGCCGATGTTCACGATCTCCATGCAGAAGGGAACAGGTGTTGTTACCAGTGTCCCAGCTGAAGCACCGGACGATTTCGCCTGCCTCACGGACTGGAAGAAGCGCTCCAACTGGCGCGAGCAATATGGAGTCAAGGAAGAGTGGTGCCAGCCTTTCGATGTTGTCGACATCCTAACATTTCCAGATGCAGAAGAGGATGTGCCGTCAGCACCAGCTATTTGCGAAGCAATGAAGATTGAGTCCCACAGAGACAAGGACAAGCTGGCCGCTGCCAAGAAAGATGTTTATCAAAAGGGCTTCTATTCTGGAGTCATGAAGGTTGGCCCGTATGCAGGACAGAAAGTGATTGATGTGAAAGCAAAGATCAAGCAAGACCTCATCGATGAAGGAGCTGCGGTACCGTACTTTGAGCCTGAGGCTAAAGTGGTTGCACGTTCTGGTGATGAATGCGTCGTGGCTCTGTGTGATCAGTGGTACTTGAAGTATAGCGATGAAGAGTGGACCAGCAGAGTTCGCAAGCATGTCTCAGAAAATTTCGAAATGTTCAGTGAGCCCGCAATGAATGCTCTCACGCATGCAGTCGGTTGGCTCGGCGATTGGGCATGCTCTCGGACATTCGGCTTGGGGACAAAGCTTCCTTGGGATGAGCAGTGGCTGATTGAAAGCCTCAGTGATTCAACAATTTACATGGCCTATTACACAGTGGCGCATCTCCTCGAGGGCCTGGAAGGAGAAGAAAAGATCGAAGCTAGTGCTTTGACAGAGGATGTCTTCGACTACGTCTTCAACATCAGCGAGACTCCTCCAGAAAATTCGGGCATTTCCACTGAGGTGCTTGCGAAGATGAAGCGCGAGTTTCAATACTGGTATCCAGTCGATCTGAGATGCTCGGGCAAGGACTTGATTCAGAACCATTTGACAATGTCGCTTTTCAATCATGCCGCCGTGTGGCCAGAGGAGCGTTTCTGGCCAAAGGCATTCTATTGCAATGGTCACATCATGGTCGATTCCGAGAAGATGTCAAAATCCAAAGGAAATTTTCTGACATTGGAGGAGGCGATCAGCTCCTACTCCGCAGATGCAACCCGCATCGCGTGTGCAGACAGTGGTGATGGCCTGCAAGATGCCAACTTCTCCAGGGAGTCCTGTGGAAAGACCATCCTTCGATTGACCACGCTGCAAGCCTGGGCGGAGGACGCAGTCAGCAGTTTGCCAAGCATGCGAACTGGAGACTTCACGTTTCTGGACGACATCTTCAGCAACGAAATCACGAAGAGTGTGGTGGCTGCTCATGAGGCATATTCAGGAATGCTTTTCAGCGATGCCCTGAGATCTGCCCTCTACGACATGGAGAACCTGCGCTCTCAGTACAGCATTCTCACGAACGGCGATGTGCATGCAGATGTGATCAAGCGTCTTTTGGATTCCCAAACAATCATCCTGTCCCCGATTGCTCCGCATTTCTGCGAGCACCTGTGGCGAAATGTTCTCGGCAACAAGACCCTGGTCGTGCAAGAAGCATGGCCCACCCCAGAGACGGAGTACAATCCTTTCCTTTCGCGACAGTATGCCCTAATTCAGGGCACACTCCGCACCTTCCGCCTGCAATTGGAGAAGTTCAAGAGCCCCAAGAAGAAGAAGAAAGGACAGCAAGCTCAGGGGCCCCCTCCCACACCAAACAAAGCTATAGTCTTCGTGGCCAAAAGCTACAAGGATTGGCAGGTTGATGTGCTGAAGGCTTGCCGCGCATGTGAGTGCATCGCAGACATTTGCAAGTTCTGTCCATTGAGTGTATTATGCTTGCCAAGCCTGCTCCGAACAGGTCCTGCAGACGGTCGAGCTCAATGCAGAGAATGAGCCTGTTGACAAAAACTTCATGGGACAAGTCCGCGCAGCAGAGACTATCAAAGACCTTCCCAAGCCTGTGATGAAGCAAGTTATGCCATTTGCCTCGTTCGTCATGAAGCAGGCGCGCTTTGTAAAGCGAGTAGCTCGATGAGTAGCTCTACATCATTCATGCGATGCTGCTATGTCCAGGAGGTCAAAGCGAGAGGGTCCGAGGCTCTGGAGTTGGAGTTACCTTTCGACGAGGTGGGATGGGGGAGTGGCTCAGAGCAAAAGTCAGTCAACGGCGCCTTAGATCGCATCTTGCAGGCAGCCATGCTGCGCGATCTCAGCGAGGCGAGAAGCTCAGAGAAGACACGAAGAGTGGCAAACGTGTTTCTCGGCACAACTGAGACTTATGGCCTGCAGGTGATAAAGGCGCAGTTGGGCGTTGAGACGCTGGAGGTTGTGAGTGCTGCTGAAGAGCATCCTCTGGGCTACGACCAGCAGCGTGATGCTGCCGGACCAGCGAAGCCACAGATCGTTTTCCTAGCTGACCAGTTGGAAAGCGTTTCAGCATGAGATAATGTGTAGTCGTGGGCAGCTTTTTGTGCAGTTCCGATTTTCAAGTTCAGCCCATACGATTTTCGACAGCACTCGGTGCAGAAACAGTGTGGGAAGAGATTGTGTGGAGAGTGTGCTTGATGATCCTTGGTTCGAGCTTTCTTGAGCCGTCTCTGATGTTGAATTGGGACATCACGGATGTGTCACTCACCATGTCGCCCATTTGGCCAAGCTTCCTGGGAGCACGAGGGTGGAGAGGGCCAACCTGCTCTGCCCGTCCAGGCCTTGGGCCTCCTCTGCGTGTGTGCATAGATGGCAGATTCTGCACATCCTCAGCTTAGCCAAGTTGTTTTCTGCAAGGTAACATAGCTGCGTGGCCGCAGCATGAGACCCAGCATGCAGGCAGAATGCACAGCCTCCACATGCTCTCTGCCTCAGGCTTCGCACAATGCGATGGCCGAAAGCTGCTCGAAGATTAGCGGCGCTCGCTGTGTCTGTCACGATCCAGAGAGTGGTAACCTCGGGCGACGCGGCATCAGTTTGTAGAGTGCTGCATTTCGCTTTGGTTCTGAGGTGGCGGCATCTGACACAGAGAGCTGGCTGGTGAGGCCGTGCTGCAATCTGCAGCAGCGATGTGTGCTCTGCCATAGCATCCGCACCTGTCAGATGTTCCACGGACTGCAACGGGCGAAACCAATGCGAGGAGGTGTGGATTTCGGTTCCTTCTGGCCCCTGTAGTCAGACGTGATGCTGCCGTGATGCTCAGCATTTGATGGATAGTTGTGCACGTGCAGCTATGGCTCCAGGCATGCAGGGGTGATTTCCCAGATCCTGCCACGCAGGATGCCGTTTCCTGCGACCGTCCCACGCAAAGCTCAGACCTCTCAGGCCTCACAGCTTGCAGGTCTGCGTAAGGACATTGATCGCTTTCTGGACCCCCAAAGCTCACAGCCTGTACCTGTGAACGTCGGGACTGCTTCTGTGGATGTGCCTGCTGGTGCATGCGTTGTGTCACAGGGCCAAAATTTCTCAGAGATCCAGAGGCTCTCCCAGAGCAACGAGGAGTTGCAGCGAGCCTTAGAAGGGGCTCGACAAGAAGTGAAAACGAAGTCGAAAACGATGTCCAGTCTCAACAGCACTCAGAGAAGCCAGCTGAGCAACGTCAAAAAGGAGTGCACCGAGCTGCGCGAAGATGGCAGAGCAAAGAAGAGGCGGATAAGTGAGATGGAGGATGAGATCCTGAAGCTGCAGCGTGAGCGGGACAAGCTTGCACACGACTTGCAAGAAGCCCAAGAGCGTTCACAGCGTGATCTGCAAGCTATGCAGACCGAAGCTGCAGAAGAATGCCGAAAGCAGGAACTCACAATCTCTCAGCTTGAGTCAAGGCTCGAACGACTCGCCGAAGCAAGCAAGCCTAGCGCAAAAGACCACGAGCCTGCAGCCACCAGGATTTCAGAGCTGGAGCAAGAGGTCCTTGCACTGCGGATGCTTCTGAAGGAATGGTGGCCAGAGAAAGAACTTGCTCTGGAACTTCAAGCAAAGCATCTTCAGCTGGACAGCGAGCTTCAGCAGCTGCAAACTGCTCGAAAAGATTTGCAAAGCGCAAGAGAGCAGATCAGGACCTTGGAGCAGAGCCAGGCTCAGCTGACGGCTTCTTTGGAAGCACGTGACTCTTCCCTCAAAGAGCTCCGACAATCCGGCGCCGCCAATTCCCTCGCGAAGCAGGACCTCGTCGCTTTGGAGGAAGTCGTCTCGGAGATACTTCAGGCAGCCAACGAGTGTCGAATCGGTGGAAGCTTCCTGCCAACGGCCACGACAGCCCCGAACCTGCGACTTGCTTGGTCTTTCCTGCAGTCCCGCTTGGCTACTGAAAGCCAGAAGCGCATGCAAGCTCAGCGCGAGCTGGATGCCACTGCAGAGAAGCAGAAAAGCATGCAAGTTGAGCTCAGCAAGCTTAGGGTGGAAGTGGTACGTTGCGAGGAACTGAAGAAGCAGCTCCAGGACTCGCAGTCTGAAATCCACTCTCTTCGAGACGGATCGGCTGAAAGGACGGGGGAAGAATCGGAGCTGCAGAGGCAGCTTGCAGCAAAGCAGCAGGCCATCGACGCCATCACAACCGAAGCAGAGTCCCTGCGCAGCCAGCTGAGTCAACTGATGGATGTGGAAGGCAAGGCTAGAAAGCTGGAGCGTGTAAACGCCGAACTCTGGGAGGCCAACAAGGAGCTTGAGAGCCGGGTCGAGAGATTGGAGAGTGCCAATGCTGAGGAAGCAGATTTTGACCCGCGAACAACGAAAGTCTTGCATCTTACGAGAGGTCCAGTGCAACAGGTTGATGCCCACGCTAGTGGCGCCGGTGGTGACTTGGAGCAGCAGCAGGCATCAAGACAGTTGGACCGGTTCAAGAAAGCCATGCGAAAATATGTGCAGGAATTCAGAGAGGGGATTTACCACCTCCTAGGATGGAAGGTGGAGATGAAGGGCGATGGAAGTTCAATGCGATGGCACCTAACTTCGAGGTATCATGAAGGCCAGGAGCTGGTTTTCCAGCTCCGACCTGCAAGCACTGGACATCCCGCTGAGTTCGACTTGCTGGGGACTGTTTGGGCAGAGCAGTTGCAGGGTGACCGCCAGGCGATGGCATACCTTGAGGTATACAGTTCTATTCCCGGCTTTCTGGCGCACGTGACCGTTGATCGCCTGGCCCAGCAGACTTTCACCCGATGAGCCCTGCGCGCATGGCACCCAAAAGAGTGCGCTTGTTGAGATTGCTAGGGTGCACCTGAGCCCGTGGCTGCCTTGTGTCCTCGACATGTACTGTCAGGTTTGTGCTGGAGAACAAGTTCAGCATCACGCCTGCCCGTATCAGGTGTCGTCCTCAGTCGGTAAGCTGTCGGTTGTGGGTGGGAAGCAAGAGCATCATCGGGACAACTTGGTCTGGTGTTTGATGTGAGAATCATTGCACGGTTGTTACGGCAGCCATGTGAATAAGCATCTGTAAAAAGAATAGCCGTGGGTGCACCTTCGTTCAACAGACGAAGCGAACCAAACACCGCACATGTTTCACCCATGCCTTTGGGCGCCTTGCAGCATGGTATCACAATCAGGGCGATGTATTCGTGAGGCAGACTGCTCCTCTGCCAACAGCTTCTGCCCTGACGGAGAGGAACCCAAGGAATGCAAGTGTGCTCGACTTGTTCTTGTCGGATCTACGGCCAGTCAGACCACTGGCTGACTTGCCAGGTTCTCAGACTGGTCTGATTGGGAGGCCCCCGTTGCATGCACTGGCCTGTGTACCAGGACCACCTCCACATGAAAGCTTTGGGCAGCAAGTCGGAGAGCAGCGGAGAGACCACGCTACATGCAGGAAACGAAGTATTCTACAACACAACAGCTGTGGTGGAGCTGCTTGCGAGTGCGGCTCACAGTCAAAAGTGGCGTATCTCAGAACGTAGCAAATGGTTTGTCCCAAGAGCCAAGCGTCGTGTCTTGCAGGGGTCCGCTTCAAGACTCCCAATACTGCCTGGACTCCTGCCCGCAAACTCCAGAGGCGGGAGTGCTTGGAGAAGCATTGCTTGTGTGTGGTTCCCGTGGCACAGGACTGTGAGCTCAGCGCCTGGGGAGAATGGAGTGCTTGCAGCCTCAACGTCACGAATCAGAGGCTGCCATTTCCCTTTGCAGCATTGCCGCTGTACTGCATCGTAGATGTATGACCCGACAGCCCGCATGGAGCCCTGTCAGGGAGCGAAACCGAAGCGTGGTGGTTCTTCCTGCGCGGTGCTTGTGGGTTGTGAAAGTTGTGGGACTCTGGTTCGCTGCTTCAGCAGACTTCCGTAGCTGCACAATGTTGACAAACTGAGTTTTCGCTGGCTCGGTTCAAATCAATGACATATTTCTCACTCCTGACCTAGGCACGAGGTGGCGCTGAGTGTCTTGGTGCCCTTCTAGAGACAGAGGCAGCGGCATTGCTTGTGCAAGCATCTTTGCACATGGCCTCGCTGCAGCCTGTGGTTTCTGAGATGAGTCTCGGCATCTCGCATGCGCTCACCAGTGCTTGTCTGTGTATAGTCTTGGCAGGACTGCGGCTCAGCGGATACGGAGAGTGGCGACTGCGTGCTTTCCATGTCAGCGCCCTGGCACATGCACGCATGTCATCCGACCATCTCGGCTTCGCTGCTTGCAGGTGGATGGACTGGAGCCCATGTAAGGCGTGGTAAGCTCAGACGGTGCAGCTTTGAGCGCTTCGACCATTCGAGCTCGAAGGATTGGAAAGAGTCGTAGTCGTAGATGATATGTTCGAGATATTGCAAAAGGTTGCCGTTGCTTCCTGGCAAACTGTCGTCGGAACAACGAAGAACTCTTATAGTGGAACGTACGTCTGAATGCCTTCATCTCCGAAATCAAGATACGGAGTCAGTCCCGCCAAGTTCTGAAATTGCGGCTTTCCTCAGATCCCGGGCTCCGGAACATGACTGAGCCCGCTGACACTGAGGTGTGAAGACAAGCAGCGAGGTCGCCTCCGAACAATTCTTCATCATGCCGCAGAGCTTGGAGACGCGCTCTTTTTGCGAGCACAGCAAGAGCCAAGAGCGAAGCCAAACTTACCAAGGCCAAGCATGGTGGGAGGCCATCTCGTGATGCAATGACGTACAGAGCGAAAGTTGTAGTGGTGTTCTTGCATGAAGGCCCTGTGAAGATACACTTAGCGAGACATCTGCGTGCTCTGACCCCGGCAGTGCTGGAGCGATGGGTGTGTCAAGCATCGCAACAGCGTGTAAAAGGCTCCATTCTTTTGGTTTCTGTGACTCGTGATGAGGTCCCTGCTCAAACACAGAGGTGCCGGGTGACTGTGTGTTGGAAGACTGGCAGCGACCCAAGCTCCGATCAGTCCTGATGTTTTTTGTTCAGCATCTCTTCTTGCATGTCGACCCTCCCAGCCAGGACTGACTGGAGTGTTTGCAACGGCACCGATGACCGCGAACGGCGCCGGACACGCGTCGGACTCGGTATCCCCAAGGTCCAAGGACTCAAAGCATCCCGTCACGAAGAAGCCTTCCAAGTAATCAAGCGATGTCAAAGTGGCGGCGTCAATTCCTACAAAAGTTGTGGCTAGTGCATCCAAGCAAGAGACGGACAGTTGTCGAGTGGACACTCCTGCACGGGTATTCAGAAGCCAAATCCATGCGATTGCTCTCGGTCTGAGATTGAGTCATAGCAGACAAACACATGCGAGCTTGAACTCCTGTCAATATTCCTTGTTAAGGTCCGGAGGGTCTGCTTTCATGAGCAGGCATGGTATACCAGGGCCATAACAAGCTTTACATGCAGTGCTGCTTGGAAATCCTTAAGTTCTGAACGGAAAGCTGGCAGAACCCAAGGCATGGACAGAGGTCCAGCAAACCCTGTGGCAAGAGCCTGCACCTAACAACCCAGCTACTCGGGAACATACGCAGGGACGGACGTCAGAGCAGCAGACTTCTTTCCTGTCAAGACGCAGAATCAACTAATTAAAGCTCAAGTGCACATCGTGAAAGCTGGTGTATCCGTCTCTGAAGCGCTTTCACCGAGGTCAGATCCAAGAAGCCACAGATTCGGGGGAGGCATCGGAAAAGCGGTCTATTTTAACGGTCGGAGAGTCCCTGCAAGACTTGGAGCCCGTACTTGCAATCCGCTTTTCAGTGTGGTTTCAGCTTGATGCTTCGCTTGGTGCCAGGCATGCTCTGGGCCAGTTGTTGAGGTGTTGCCGTTTGGTGCTCGAGAACTTGAAAAGATAGACTGGCTTCGTCACTCAGTTTTTGAGGTGTGACCCAGCGGACTCGTCAGAGACACCCGCCACCGACTGCGCGTTCGCTGACTGGCCGTGTCCTCGGCGCCAGAAGCAGCGTTTGGAGTTGCGGTGTGTTTGGAGCACAGGTCGGACTGGCAGCTCTGTGACAAGTCGTGCGACGGAGGTCAGACTGTCAGGCCCTGCGTTTCGGCCCCCAATGATACCTAAGATAACCTAGTGAGACCAACAGTCCTCTGCTGGGCTGCAGCCCTTGAGGACCCGGACAATCGCAACTCCCGCTGCGTCTGGTGGTACTTCTTGCAGTGGCGGCTTGCAGGATCTCTCCGGAGCATGTGACGTCCCTCATGCCAGACCACTCGCAACGATTGCAGGAGACCACGTCGTGCAACACCTTGTCTTGCAGTCTTTACCACCGGCCGTGTCGACCTTCGCAGTGGTGCTGCCGCTCAGAGCTCCGACTTTCGTGTTGGATAACGAGAAAGGCATGTGTTATCAAAGGACCGAGTGGGGACCTTGCACTACGACTTGTGGCCCCGGCAGCTCTTCCCGCAGCCGCACCTTCGCGGAGGCGCGGCAGCTTCAGACGCTTGCTGGGAGATGTTACGCTACACGGGACTGCCGCTGCCGCTGCGGTGTTCTTCCTCTTCTTCTGCTACTGCTCTTTCATGCTCTTTCGTCCAGCATCCCCTCGTGTTCCGTGCAGTGTTTCGCTGCAATGTCTCGTTGAGAGGTAAAGAATTGTCGAGTGACGGGGTTAGACCAGAGAGCATGCGCAGGTTTGAAGACGCAGGCCAGGTCAGGTGTTGTGGGACGGTTTAGGCAGCTTAGGCAACTTAACCTCGTGTCTGCCAGTATCTACAACTCCTCGGTATATGTTGGTAGTCGTTCTGGCACAACTCGTGAGTAAAAAGCTTGGAGTGTTCGTTTATTCCTCGCTCTTCGTCACATTTGTGGAATGTTTACACGTTGTAACTCCTGTTTTCGAACTGCTGCCAACCAAGCCAGTTTTCAACGATGCTGCCAAACCGCATTGCGTGGTGCTGCATGATGATTCCGACTGGTTTCACTTTGTGCGAAAGCTGTCGGACATCGTCTGTCAATATCTCAATGACATCCCGTTTGTCTCCTAATCCTTGTCCTAGTCTTAGTGGCGATGGTGGTATGCTTATGCATCCGCTTGTACCAAAGTGCTGACTAGAACGTTTCCATCCTGGCCAAAACTCAAGAAGGGCTTCCGGGTATGTTTCTCCTTGGAGCTACTGGTTGACAAATCCACATCAAAATTTAACTCTGCCCTGCATGAAAAGATCCGCCTCCTCTGCTCTGACTTGACCGCCGCCTCGAAAGTGCAGTGCTGCACGCAGTTTACTGACACGGCAGACTGCGTGGCGCTCGCACCCCGAGCCTGATTTGCCTTCGTGTCCCATTACAAAGATTGGTGGTCAGAAGGTCTGAGGATGCTGCCGGGTTTGAAGTTTGAACGAACAGCGTCCAGTGTCTGATCTCCTGAGCACTTTCTCAGCATGACAAAAGGAAAGGAAGAGATTGGTAGAAAGCTTCGAGTTGGCCACCTGCGAAAACCTGGTGACAGCAGGCAGACCTGGGTGGAGAGCCTTGCTCGTTGACGCTGGCAGAGACTAGATCATGCGCAACGGACTCTACACAGGCCAGTGCTGAACGAGTCTGAGCTTCTCGTGTCTGGTCGTGGACGGGTAGCAATCGGTCTGGCAGACCTGGCACAGGCATGTGGGGTTCAGGATTGCATGATTGACGACTGGTCGGAGACTTAAATGCTTGGAGGCCGGTTGCAAGGACGGCTCACCGGAATGTTTCTGCAGGTCAGACTGGAAGTCTTGCACGAAGACTTGCAGTGGGGGGATCACTGAGTCACCTTCTTGGATTTCGCCTGTCCCTGCGACTTTGTCCGACACAGCCGCCCTTGTCCCAGGCGCCATCGAAAGATCACGCAGCACGCTTCCATGGGAGGAAAGCCCTGTGATCTTGAGGAAGACCAGCTGGAGGAGGCTGGCACTGGGCCTTGCGAAGATTTCATAAGACAAAAAGTTGCCCGTGGATTTGGCGTAAGGTCAAAGCATGCGGTGAGGGTGCATGTGAAGTCAACGACGACTGTGAAGACGGCGAGTGGGGTGATTGGGAAGGTCCGTCCATTCAGACGTGTGCAGACACTGCTCTTGCACCTGCTTAGCAGATGCCTCTGTGAGTTTGCTCGTGTGGTTCTCTTTCGTGAATCACAAGGCTGGACAGATTGCACAAAGACCTGCCGCGGCGGATTCCGCTTGTCACAACGAAGGCGCCATGGTTTCTTGTAACAGGCACCAGACGCCCAAGTTGTTTAGCGACCACCCATGCTAAATGCATGTGATGTCTACTGCGCCATTACAGGCTGACAGGATAGAACTGGTTATCTTTTCTGTTGTTGATGCTACGTGAATGCACGAAGACTGGCTTGCCAGGGTGGTGAAGGAGGCGAACTACTGTGGTACTCCAGCCCAAGGAGTTGCCACAAAGATCGAAAGGCCTTTGGTACAGTAGAACGTGTCGCTAAGCATAGTACATAGCACCGGTGCAAAGAGCCAGCTGACAACACGATTCTCTTTTGATGTCGAGGGCATGTGTTGAAGTTGGTCCTGCTTGCTGATTCCTTGTAAATTAAAGGATGCGGTTCGCACCTTGAATTGAACCGATTTCTCTGGGCCAGCGTACGACACGGTTGCCGAACCTCGATCTGTAATATGATATAATGTAGAGTCATGTAATTGGCAATAATGAAATTTCAACACATTGTGATACAACGTCATGACTGACTAGGATACAGTGTAAGGTAGAATAGTTTCATTAGTTTCAGAAACGTTTGAATATGAAACAACGGAATATAGCAGAACATTATGCAGCATCGTGTAATGTAATTGTTATGGAATGCTTTATGTAACCTCTTGTATTTTAGCAGAATGTGCGTGATATAAGATGTTGTGACCTAACATAGTATATGCAATACTTAAACGAACCCTAATGCACCATCCATTTCAATCTAGCAGAAATCTAGTGTACCCCAATACAATATTGAATCATTCAGATTATATCAGGTAACACCCAATTCGCCAGAACTTGATACAGCATAGTTCCGTATGTATGACATAGCACAGCAGTGTATAGAATAATCTAAACTTAAACGAATATAGCTCATAATTTTATGTCACATAATATGAGGTTTTTCGGCAGAATAGAACAGAGAAAATCAATGAAAGAGCATGTAGAACAGTATAATAAAATGGAGCGCGATATGAGGCATCTATACATTGCTGTGTATGATCTTTATGTAAATACAAAAATTGCTGTACAAGTTTCTATGGCTTTATGTATGTGTGGGCATACGCATAAATATTTTAAGATGTATATATACATATATATATACAGAGGTATGTACACATATTATGTAAATGTGTGTACATGTTTAGATGTACAGTTTCCTACATGTGTATGCTCATGTCTGCATGCGTGCATGCATGTATGTGCGTCTACGAGTGTATGAGTGTATGTATGTATGCATATACATGTATATATGTATCCATGTATGTATGTATGTATGTCTGCAGCTATGTTGGCGTGCATGTGTGTAGGTATGTCGATAAGTCTGTCTGTGTGTATGTATGTATGCATGGTATGTACTGTATGGACTGCAGGTATGCATGCATGCGTACATGTATTATATGTTTTGTATGGGCTGCATGTAATGTATGTACTGTGTGTAATGTATGTATGCATGCGTACACGTATTGTATCACAGTATGGGCTGCTTTGAACGTATGTACTGTATGTTATTTTGTACTGTACGTAATATTCTCAATGTACGTAATGTATGTGCATGTAATTCATATAATAATATGTAACTCAGTGTAGTGTAATATAGCAAAGTGCAATGTTTGGTAGTGTATATGTGCATGTGTGCCTGTATCTGTATATATATATATATTACTATATATGTGTGTGTGTGTGTGTGTGTATACATGCCTGTGTATGTACTGAGGCCGCAAGATGCCGCCTGCACAGGGATCAGTCAACACTGACCGAGATTCCTGCTTTGAATGAAGGAAGGAAGGTAGGTGGTATGTAGGTGTACATGTGCACGCACACGCATATCTACACGTATCTAACATCGTGTTGCCTGTTCGTGCAGTTGCAACGACGGAATCGTCTGCAGCGGGGCAGTGGACTGTGAGCTTACGGAATGGTGATGGCCCCATGGTAAGCGGACACACCATCTCGTAGTTATGCAACCCCGATCGTGCCCAGGACCGAATGGTCCGTGTGCGACAAGCCCTGCACCGGGATGCAGGAACGAGCCCGCGGAATCAAGGCTCGGTTCGGATGCTTTGCCGCGTGGCACCTCTGTCCATGTGCTTGATGCTTGCAGTTGGTGAAGGTTCATCCAGAGAACGGTGGGGTGCCATGCGGCTCCGAGGGGCAGGCAAAGAATGAATGCGAACACCGGTCGTGTTGATGTGTCCCCCTGTAGTTCTGACAACATCAGCCGACGAGGCCACCAGCCTTTCGGAAATGGAGCATTGTCCTCCGCAGCCAGGCCGCTCCTTGCCGCCTACAGCTGATCTTGATTCAACGAATGCCGCCTCTGCATTGTCAAGGCGAGACCTGCGTTGTTCCGGAGCCGGATGGATGCTCGATCGGTTCTGCCCTCACAGGCCTTTCGGTCGTTTTGTAGCCCTTCTTGTCAGCGGCCGCATGTCATTCGTTTTGCCGCAAGCTCTCCAAGGTGACTGGTCCGCTTGGTCCGAGTGTTCTGCGACCTGCGATGGCGGCCAAAAGTCCCGAAGTCGAGAGGCCGCCGCAGTTGCAGCAGGGGATCTGAATCTGGTGTGATGCGCAGAGCCGCAGAGCAGCTGAGCGGTGGCTGCAGGCTTCGGCAGGTGCCGATGGATCCTGGTATCCGTGCAAGGCCCTTTCGCAGCGCGAAACCCCTGCATGGGTGTGGGTTTTTTTAACTACGCCTGCTCCGTTGGCGAGGGCGAGCTGAAGCAGACGAGTCCTTGTGCTACAGACGCTTGTGGCGAAAAGGCAGGGATCACTCCCAGAGTTTCTCAGACGTGCAAGATGTGCTCTTGTCCCGCCAGGAGGACTGCACGTATGAGGACTGGACAGAATGGGGAAATTGCACCAAGCTGCATCCTTGGTACTGTCTCCTTCATGATACTCAGCCCGCAGTTGTTGTTGACTGCATCATGTATCCAGCATTTTGCTTGCTCATTGATGATTAGATGAGAAGAACATCCATGCTGAAGTCATTGGTCACAACCCCGGACTTAGCCAAAGCAGCCGCGATTCTTGATTGAACTCGGTGGATGACTCTTGGTCACAAAGCTTCACGGTCCTGTCTTGGCTTTGACTCCAACTTCCGCTCCAAGCAATGGCTTACAATGCTCCTTTCGCCACAGCCCAAGTGGTCTGCTCCTCAGTCGCCGGAGGGAAAGTCGTTTGCCGCTCTGTAGGAGGCAGGAGATATCTCCTGCATGATTTTGGTAGAACGACACACAATGGAGGCTTAAGGCGGCGGTGCATAGGCTCGAGACCTGCTCACCCACGGGCGATGACCTTGTTGCAGTTTTCCTGGTAAACCTAGCGATCTGCTCGGCCCCTAATCACCAATCCAAGATGCGAGCAAGGATAGCCCGCCTTGGTACCACGAGAAGTCGCATTGGAGAGTTTCTGACCGGTTTGGCAGGCTGGTGCTTTCTTGTAAATGCGTGTTCATTTCATAGCACAAGCATCCGAAGCTGACACCTGCAGAACCTTGTCCGACATCATGCTTGATGGCGGAGGATATCATCAGGGGTATCTGAACTACAACAGTTCCCGAGCTGCATCTTCGGATCACAACTTGCGAGTCAACCGTCGGTATCAGCCATTGCCGTCTCAAAGATCGGTCCGAGGTGCGAAGGAAACTCCGGCAAGGATAGCGCGACGCCTCTCACAGCAAAAGCCTGCGTCCCAAATGCAACGACACAGCTGACAATCATGTGAGTGGGTGTATAACTGAGGTTGGGCCTGACGGGTCGGTTCCAACTCGAGGAGAGTTTGCAGAAAACAGAAGTCATTGCACGCTTTTCGAGCGATATGCTCCAGGACTTTTCCCGCGGCAGCCTTGGATCGTGCGCCAGAGCTCTGCCTGCTCAGATCAAGCATGTCCTGGATCAAGGTCCTGCATCCAGGAGAGGCAGTCCACTGATTCTTGTGGAGTCGCAGACTCCGCAGACTCCGCAAACTCCGCCACGAACTGCACCCTCCGGAGCTGGAGCCCCGGAAAGCCTGAGTCTAGGTCTAGGCAGCCTGCCTGTTCCAGAATATCGTCAGTGGCCTCGCAACTGCTGGCAGCGTTCACGGATTGACTGAATCTTGGCGAGTGGCAAGTATGCCTGATGTTCGCCAACAGAAAAGACAGGTAAAGACAAATGGTTAGAAACAACAGCACATGTTTGAGGCACGCTCCATGAAGCTTTCGCACCATGCATCCCGCAGAAGTGCACCCTCCTTTCCGTCCCGGAAGTGCACATACATATCCTGAGAGAGCACCGTGAACATTTCTTTAGGATGCCGGAAGACTCTGTGATCTTCACACGAGCAAGACACCCCAAGACCTTCCAAAACTTAAGACATTGGCGCAATGCTAGAGTTGAGACTCATGAGATGTAGGACTCGGCACGAGCCAGTATGCATTGCAGAAAGCCCACCGCTAGTCCCAGAGTATCCCTGAGAAGCCCAACTCCTCGGGCGGCGGGTAGCTTGGGCTCAGGTGTGCAGCCTTTAGCAGCATCTGAAACTCTGCATCGTTGCTCGCGAGACGCTCTCCTGAGGCCTTTGCGTCGACTTCACGCTCCGTTTTGATCCTCGGATGCAAAGACATGCCGACTGTGACTGCGTGGCTCCTTCCGAGTGTCGGAGTCTGCAAGGCGAGCTTCGACGCCAGCGGGCTCCAAACAAGTGGAGGCCAACGGGCAGGATTTTCGAGTTCGAGCTGTGGAGCGGCAGTCAGGACTCCTTCCAGCGTGTCTTCCGTGACCGTGATCGGCGCCACATGGAGTGGAACCTGAAGGTCGAGCCGAGCAAAGCACCTTGCCAAAGCTGCTTTGGGAAGTCGGGGGCAGGCAGAGTACTCGAAGGTAGATGATGGTGGCCTGACGAGGTGGGAGTGGGGGCCACCTGAGAAGGAAGACTGCAGCCATGTAGCCAAGTCAGAAGCCTTGCAGGGCAGTCGGCTTTGACCAGAGTGGGCCGGCTCACCCGTTCTCAGCCCTTTGGGACCGCGGGTGCTTCTCGGTCTCGTGTCGCCCTGTCTGAGTTCTTCACTTCCGTGAGGATGGTCCATCAACACACTGGGCCAGGCTGACAAGAGGGCCCGGTGCCAAGCAGATGCTGCAGCCCGTGTTCTCTGGACTCTCTTGTGGCAACTCAGGAACACTTTGCCCAGCTTTCGGCCAATGACTGTACCTGGCATCTAGGATTGTGAGTCGCAGCGATAGTCGTGCAGATTACAAATGGCATTTTAGCCGTTGATGGTTACTGGCTTTATGAGAGGGAGCATCCTTTGCAAATGCAGCCCTGCTCCCTCGTGACTTATCGTGCCTTCCGAAGGAAGGCCGAATGCTAGCTACTTAGTTGGCAGGGTGAATTGCCGGAGGTAAGTTTTCACCTTGGCATAGTAATCGATCGAAGATGCAACAGTACAGATCGGTGTGATCCAGCCTATGGTCTTGAAAACGTTACATAGAGCTGCGTCAGCGCCACGGTCCCAGGGCATTTGACCTGATGGGTTCGCAACCTGAGGTGTGGTGGCCAGACATTTCGATCACGCTCCATTCAGTCACAGCCTGCGTGGAAGCCTTGGGAGTCTCTACAGAGCATAACAGAAGATAAGAGAAGTCTCACCGTCCCTGACAAGGTACGGCGGTGCCGAATGCCAAGCATCTGAAACCATGCAGACGAAAAGGCGCAAATTTGAGTGCCATCACCTGGCTCGTATGATTGTGCATGACTCCTGAGGTGCCCCAGAGAATGTGGACCACACTTGTACTGGTGCGTGTGGAGTGACTGGGCATCCTGGTCAGCCTGCACTGAGGCACTGAGCTGCATTGCAAGCTGCATAGATCTATCGTGGCCTGCCTCTCAGCTACGCTCGTCGGGAGGACTGCGGCGTTGGAATCCACTTCCGGAAGCGGTTGCTGACGATGACGGACAGGGCAACAGTGCAACCGAAAGCCAACCCCAACCCGACAAAGTCCATAAGCTTCAAAGCTTGGAAGGACACCCAGCCAGCGAACCCACTCGCAGTGGCATCCTCGGAGAAGGCCCGGCTTCTTTGACCGCGTCTGACGCAAGATAACCTGCAAGATGAAAGACGCCTTCAAGGGAGTTGCTTTTTGAGGCCTCGTCGTTTCACTGAAACAGCTGAAGACCCGAAAGCCAGCTTCCCTGCCTGAAAATGCTCTGAGGTTTCCAGATCATTCATTGTTCCATAATGTTCTTGCTGCATGTTGCTGTCGAGTTTTGCTGTGTCCGGAGAACTCCCACATCAACGTGCCACAAACCGCCACTGAGTGTTTTCGAGGACTGCGCTGGCGAATTGGTCGATATCGAGCAGCCTGCGCCTTGCAGCGATCGACTTGAAAGCAGCGCTATCTTCGCTTCGGAAGGTGCCCGGATCTGCCCGAATGCGAGAGCTGCGTACCACAGGCTCAGTGGACACGGAAACAGTGCATAATGGAACGCGGCTTCACTCGAGGATTGCGTCTTGGGCGAGTGGTCGGAGTGGAGTTCACCGCGCTGCGAGGTGGGCAATGTAGATCTTTCGGCAGGCTATGGGATCGTATGCAGTGTCTGTGCAAGCATCTGCAACATGGTCAGGGCATTTGCACTCGAAGTCGTGGAGTTGCCACTCCGAGCAACGAGTGTGGAAAGCCGTGCGAGGGGAAAGGGCCTCAGTACTTGCGGTCTAGGGTTTTGGGTTTAGGCTGAACCCGAAGCCTCGACTGACTTGCACGCGTCTTGGCGTGTGCACACGCCGTGGCATGCAGACATGGACTGAGTGCCAAGTGCACGTGCAAGCAGCAGGAGAAGTAACCTTTCGCTTCAGAATCGGGAGGAGAAAAAGCACACACAAAGTTGAGTATGTTTCGTGCAACCATCTATGCAGCTGCACAGCACATCTACAACAGGACGCGAGTTGCTCCAGGGGTTCTGGGTTCTGCCGCTCCGAGGTCTTTGAACGGCACGAAGCCTTGTCACGCGGACTGCCACAGCGAGGATCGGAGCTCGCGGAAGCCGAGATTCGGAAGCCTCGCGTCAGCTCGCGAAAGTGCTCTTTTCAGGATTGCCAACTGGGAACTTGGACCGCCTGGACCGGCTGCAGCTCCCTTCTGGACAACAAGTGCCCTCGCCACTGCACCTGGAGCTGTGCCCTTTCTCTGTTCTCTCACAGCTCTATTTCGACTTGCTGCCAGGTATCGTGCACGGCTGATCACCACTTCTGGAGCGTTCGGTGGCAAGGTAGGAAGCGGCGTTAGGTTGAGTTCCGCTGAAGCCCTGCGTATTTTTGCACGCGGAAGGTTTGCTCCCTCAGCTCACTCAATGAGACATCATCCTGCCAAACAGGGCCAGGGTCTCACACGTTTTCCCGCATTCAAAGAGGCTTCCAGCGTGGCCTGCGCCTCGAACCAAGGGCAGATGCACCAGTGAATTGCGTTCTGGCTGCATGGTCATCATGGGGACCTTGCTCAAAGACGCCAGTGCCCTTGGCCCCTGCCAGCTGCACAGACTTCAAAATCCTCGAACCGCTCAGGTGCGGTCCCGGCCAGCAGTCTCGATCGAGATCGGTGGCAAGTCAGGCTCTGGATGCGATGTTTATGGAGATGCACGCAAGTCTAGCATCGCATTACGACTTGCTAGGCTTCGCGTGGTGGGCAGGCCTGCATCGGCAGTGCAGTGCTTACCTTCAGGTGTTTCTGATGTCAGAGCATTTCCTCGAGGTATCCGTGTGTTCAATCTGAGAAGCCCCGAGGCTTGAGCGAGTTGCAGCGCTGCGAAGTTTCGCCGTCAGACGCCCAGCGCTGGGCTCCGGGGGGGATGACGCCAGCCCTGCTCGCTTGTTGGAGGTGCCCAGCTGTTCCTGCCAATCTTGCAGATTGTCAGTGGGGTCCGTGGCTGGGGACTCGGCTGTTCTGACGGAAGCGGCAGCACATCCCTCAAGACGAGAGCTGAAGGTCCGTGTGGCAAGACTGCCATGGTGGCCAACAGGCCCGCACCCGGGCAGGGTCCGCAGGCTTCGTCGAAGTTCTGCAGAGCCCAGGTGAGGACTCGCGCGGTGGTTCACCCTGCCAGGGGCTCGGGCTCACCGGCTCCTCAGATTGTGACCCAAACAAGTCATTCTGCTGACTTTGCTCTGTCTTGCTGGGCCGTGATTATCGCAACCGGTTATTTTGGAAGCCTGGCCACGAAGATCGAGGTCGTAAAAACTATGCACGTGACAGGTCGGACAAACGGTCCGAATTCGTGATTCCCTCGCTGTGCCTTCTACCTGATAAAGCTATTCGCCTGGCATTTGTATTAGCCTTGCCTTTCCGAGATCGGATGTCCAGGAAACTAAGGCCAGCGGGTCCATAGTACATAGCGTCTTTTTTGTACGTCTGTGGTCGACCTGCTGTCTGTTTCAGTTCCTGGACTTGGCGCAGGATCCCAGAATTCGGCTTTCTGACTCCGTGTTGTTCACAGAGCTTCCGAGGCCCAAGCAGGCGGCGAAGCCTGCGAGGGCCCCGTGGAGGAGACGAAAAGCTGCGGCCAGGACCCACACGGTGCCACATGTGCCACGTGCTTCATTGGGACCGGGCGCCATTTTCGCTTCCGTTTTCCAGGAACATGCAGGATCTCAAGACTGTGTGTTCTCCCTCTGGAATGAGTCGGAGACTCACGTAAAGCTTGTGTGGGAGCCCTTCGCCGTGTCGCGATTTCCTCAGGTGGAGCTTGTGCTCAAAGACGTGCGGTGGAGGGCAGAGGCTTCACACCTCCGTGTGGCTGCGAATGCTACAAGCATCAAGATCTGAAAACTGCCTGCCAGTTCGCGGTCGCGCGTGATTGACTCGCATGCTCGCGAAGGCATGTTTCCTGCCGGAAGTGAGCATTGCGAGTTGCAGCCTTGCGTTGCGTGCCTTGACGGTGTCGCAGATGGAGCACAGTGTGCTGGAACCCTCCTGGAAGTGAAGCCCTGCGCCATGGACCGCAATGCCTCTCATGCTCTGCTAGCTGTAGACAGTCGAACACATCTGCTGCCTGACGGCAGGACTCCTGCGCAGATGCTGCAGCCACTGCTGGGTTCTTATGATCTCAGAAGCATTCCCTAGCCCACAATGACCACGAAGACCTGCTCTCCCACCAAGATGTGCACCTATACCGACTGGACAAGCTGGGGGATGTGTTCACGTTCTTGTGGAGGAGGCTACAAGGAGAAATTGCTTTCCTGCACTCGGCGAGCATGGGTGAATCGTGCCTCTGCGCTTACAGCCTCGAAGGAAAGATCCCGGGATATCCGAGTTCCAGCAGTTACAGGAGACCCACTTGATGTGTGTCAATTGCACGAACTTGTCCTTCGGTCCTTAGCGGGGGTGGTGGTGTTTGTTTGCTGGGCCCTGGGCAGGTTTGAGTGGCTGCAGTGGCACGCTGAAAGAGGCTCCATTGCGGCAGGGCCATGTTTTCATATGGGCATCGGAGCATGAGTTGCCTCGCAGTCGATGCCGTGCTCGTCGACTCCGTGCCAAAATGCCGTGGACTGTGTGTGGGCCGAGTGGGAGGAGTGGTCGGAGTGTGTAAAGGTCCTCCTCTCAGGAATGCCACGGGTGTGCTTTCGGAACTTGCTTTGAGCATGGCCAGGCACCTTCCATCTGCGGCGTTGGATCCAAACGTTTGAGCCTCAGAAAAGCGAGAAGGCCACCTTGGTTCAACAGCATGGCTGCAGGCCGCAAGCGCAGCATCGCCGTGATGCCTGCGAACGGCGGGGCTCTCTGCGACCCCAGGCCGGGAGAGCGGAAAGGAGCGGAGCTCCGCACAGGGAGCTCTTGGGCTGCACCTGCGCGCCGTCCTGCAGAGGCCCTTGGAGCAGGTTATGCCGGTCAGCAACTGCCAGGGGCAGGCCAGCAGCCAGCAGGGCGGGTGTCCGCGGTGTCTGGCGTCCGCCCTTCTTTCGGCCAGGCTCCGTGCTGCATTGATGGCGTTTGGCAAGACTGGCAAGCCTGGGGAGCGTCCTGCCCTGCGTGCTTGCGCCGCAGACATAGAGTCACAAGTTGTGGCATGCGGCTGCCAGGTGCAGTGCGCACCGCGGAACTGGAACCCGCAAGAGGGTGCGAGTAGCCACGCAGGACGTCTGTGACACTTTTCAACTCCGTTCCCGAGCAGGTTACCATAAGTTGGCATTTGTAAAAGGTGCGAAAGGCATCTCTAGCTGTGGTTCAAGACAGCAGCGCGTGCCAGCTTGGCCACACATTGTCCTAGCTGTTCTAGCTCCTAATCACCGACGGGTCTTCAGTGCAGTGCAGCTGCACAGGCTTGAAAGATGTAAGTGACAGTTTGCACTCGCTGTCGCCATGGTGGGTGGAAAGATTCGCAGCATGACCGAGCTGGAGCCACCAACGCCCGAGGATTGACATGTGTTGACGAAGATCCCTCCCTGGCTACGGTTCCATTCTCTGCTACACGCAGGAAATTGATGCTTTCGTTGTTGAGAACCGCCGGTGGCTCTCAGATGAAGCAGAGGCGCTCGTCCGTTTGCGGATGCATCTGTGCCTGGCTAGCGAAGCGGCTCTGGCAGGGAATCTTGAGGGCTATGGATGGCCAGGATCAGCGACACGTGAAAGCCTCAATCGACCCTTTCTGCTGTGTCTGCTATGTCGTGCCAGGAGCTGCTGCATGCGGTAGGAAATTCGTAAGTTCTGGCAAGTTGGGGTAAGGTCCTCGTTGACGGCTCGATGTCCAACTGCAGAGATCCAGTGGCCATAGTGAAATCTCGCGCCTGGAATGGCCATTTGAAGGCCAATGGGCTCCATCCTTTGCAGGTTTGAGGTTCAGTATTCCTGTCGTGACGCTACTCGAGCTAGAGCCGCGAAACTGGGCAAGATGTGGGGTATAAGAAGGAAGACAAGTCTGCTCGACATGGACAAAATGTCGAACTGTGGGAACAAAGCGCTCTCGCTCGCTCGCTCTCTTTTCTCCCTCTGTCTCTCTGTGTGTCTGTGTCTCTCCGTCTCTCTGTGTCTCCATCTCTCCATCTCTCGGTCTCTCGGTCCCTCTCCCTCTCTGCCTCTCTCCCTCTCTCCCTCTCTGTCTCTCTGTCTCTCTGTCTCTCTGTCTCTCTGTCTCTCTGTCTCTCTGTCTCTCGGTCTCTCCGTCTCTCCGTCTCTCTGTCTCTCTGTCTCTCTGTCTCTCTCTCTCTCTGTCTCTCTGTCTCTCTGTCTCTCTCTCTCTCTCTTTCTGTTTCTCGCTCCAATACACGCACGTTGCTTTGTGTTTCGATTCCAAACTCGCCATGAGTTTCGTCGTATTCAACTCCCACGTCAGCTAAACACGATGCGTCCTGAGTCTGCAAGTGGCGCACTTGCAGGCACATATGGAGTGGATGGAAGAACGTCGAGATGCATCTGCACAGCAGCTCGTTGATGATTTCGTCATTGCCAACGCGAGGTGGATCAACTCGGAAGCCGAAGACCTTTTGGCATCTTTGGATCCTGATCTCCTCTGGAAAGTTATCGACTTCGGATCGCTGCAATTCTGTCGCGATCCTGTCGCCATCATCCGGATAAGGATTAAGGACGTCGAGCGTGGCAAGGCACGTTTGGCCAAGATGTTCTGCGCGTCGCATCCGGTGCCTTTGTAATTTATCTTGATGCGAAGGGTGGGAAAAGCGGCAAGAAGGGTGGCAAAGGCAGCAGGAGAGGTGAACCGAAGGCGAAGCGGAGACGGACTGACATGGAGAGCTCATGGGAAGCCTGGGAAGAGCCACCAGGACCGTGACCGACGTGACCGACCTTGAGAGGCCATTCTTCAGCCCCAAATCTTTCAGCCTTTCAGGTGCATCCTCGGCCCACGAGCAGGCAGCTCAGGCTGGACATGGCCAGGACCCAGATGAAAAGAAAGGGCCAGAGGAAAAGCACACGCGAGCAATTGAAGAGGGCAGAAGCCTCTTCGTCGTGGGGATCCCTCCATTGTGGAGCGTCAGCCAAACCGAAGAGTTCTTCAGTTATCACGGTGACATCGAGTCTGTCTATCTGCTCGGAGCTGAGCAATGTGCGTGCACCATGCGTCCGTGCATGTCTCCTTCCATTCTCAAGGCTGCATTTGCAGAAAAGCACCAATAAGAGAGCGGCCTATGTCAACTTCACTACGGAGGAAGGGGCCAAAAATGCCGCCTTGGTGTGCGACAGGCATTGCTTCGAGTGCATGCTGCTTGCTTGAACCTCAACTCAAAGCGTTCCTCTGCGTCAAGGCTGGAGGTCGAACATCGGGAAGAGACGCACTATCTCTGCTGCAGCATCAAGCAGAAGGCAATGAGAAGAGGAGCGCCCAAAAAATGCGAGCATGCTTCTGGCCACGTCGCAAGGCAGGATTCAAGACTTACACGAGAAGGCTCAGCCAAGGGCTGCATGGAGAGGCCGACGTGGCAACAGGCTACTTCAAGCCCACTTGAGTCCTGAGTGGTGAAGGTCGATTTTAAGCAAGCTCAAGAAGAAGCCCGGACGGTCTTTCTTTCAAGGTCTCCTTGCACCACTTGCAACTGCGTCCACATGCATTCACATTATCAGATTCTTCTTTTGCTTGCTTGTTCGTCCATTCGCAGGCTACCGGCATATACATCGAAAAAGCAAATACAAGATTTGACAGAGGATCATGGGGTGGTGGAGGCATATGCGCCGTTGTTTGACATTCAATCCCCTGGCTTGTGTTGTATAAGTTTCAGAGTTGGTTACGTTGTTGCAATGCAGGCGATCCACATCCTTCCTGCATCAAGCTACAATACCATCGCTTGCTTCGTGACGATGGAGAGCCCTGGAGAAGCTGCCTTCATGATCAGGGCGCTGAACAACACAGAGGTGCAGTTGCGACCGGCGCACATGTTCTTGGAATCGCTTCAGTACCCCTCTAGCAGTGCAGGCATTCGGGACCGTCATTCACGCCAGTCTCGCCGTTGAGAAAAATGACAAGCGGAAGAAGCTGCATCCAGAGGAGGAGTGGATACAATGGTATCCGCTGGAAATTCGAAACTTTCCTCACTGGGCCGTTGCGGATGACATCAAAGCCACGATTTCAACCGTCGGGCCGAATTCGCAGCGAGTGCGTATGATGCATTACGATCCACAGCCTAGCCTGAGCATCGCCAGGGCATATTTCAGGGAAGAAGCAGACCGGGACGCATCTCTCAAGGAGCTTGCCGGCTATGAGCTCTCTCCGGGGTATCCCTTGTCGGTTGAAGCTCTTCCAAGGACCGTCTTCGTTCGTGTCAGTTGACATGGGATTCTGCCCTTTGAGAAGCATAGAAAATGAGAATCAGAAGTGTTTTACTTGAAGCGCTAGGGAAGCCGTTCCTTCAGAGAGGACTGCTGGAACTGGTCCTGGGTCTCTGCAGCAGCCGCAGCCGTCGCCGCCAATGCAGCCGTCACAGCTGTCGCAGCCGTCGCAGCCGCAGCAGCCGTCGCAACCTTCGGCCTTCAATCCTAACTTAGTTGCGATGTCTGTGATGCCATCGCTCAACAGACCGACAATGCCGATGCTCAACATACCTGGAGGAGGGGCTCCGGTTGAACATGTCATGTTTTCCCCGGTTGCTTTCCCAATGGGATGGATGCCAGCTGTTGGCTGAAACTGGAGATGCCCGGCTTCAACTTCGCTCTCCGATTGACACGGCCGACGTGCCCGAAGGCAGAAGATGGACATGTCGCTTCCGAGCAGCGCGAGAATCCTCGCCCGAAGAAGGCTAAGGCCACGCAGAAGGTACTTGGCAGGCCTCCGAAAAGGCTGATTGACATCCCGCAGATAGATGGGCAAAGACCTGTGTCGTCAAGATGGCTGCCGGCGGCCGAACAAGACCATTTGAGCTTGTAGCTGTTGTGTTGCGAGCATGTGCCACCAGACGCACTACATGTCCAATTAATGCTGATAGTTTTGTGCTTGCGAGGAGACTTTCTGTGGCAAGCCCCCGGCGGGCACTAGTACGGAATACGAAGAATGCTCTGCAGGCACTTTCTTTGGCGAGACTTAGTGTCAGCTCTGCTGTTGCAAGTCAGTTTTCTGATGGCATTCGGGTTGAACTGTTGCTAGCTTGGGACCTATTGTTCAAAGCCCTGACGGAAACCAACCGCCTCGACTGGCAAAGTCCTCGCCAGTTGATGTCGACTGCGAATTCGGGGAGTGGACACCTTTCTCGGTCAGAGGCTTACAGCCGCATGACATGACCGCTGGCGGCTAACGATCACCGCTGCTTCAATCAACGCACCACTGAGGCTTGCTCTGCTGCCTGCTATGGACAACAGCGTAGCGCTCGCCAAATTCTCCGGAACAGTTCAGGCGCTTTGATGAGCTTCTGCCGAGTTGGGTCTCCGAGAGGTTCAGCTCACCGAGGCAATGGCAATCCTTGCGATGGGGCCGTGGAGAAGGCTGTTCGGCAGCTTGGCCTGAATCGGCTTGAACTTCGCCGGCGAAAATACCTTCAGCCTCGTTCGCGTGCTTGCTTCAGGTGCAACCCAGCTGAGGGAGAAGATGCACCTGACAGTTGCCAGTGCCATGGTTGGAGATTTTGACTTCACCCCGCCATGTTCGGAGCATAGTGCACATGCATCTTCGCGACTTCGGGCCTCAATATGCCCGACGGCTCAGAGTCGTTGGGAATGTCGCGCAGCACAAGATGTCGAAAAGTAGACTTCAATGGATATGCTACAACTCACAGTATCGGGGGTGCCGCTGGCAGCCATACAGGCCTCTGTTTCTAAATTTAGTTCATTCGATTCGGTAGCCTCCTACCCGTAGCCGTAGATGCAGGAAGTTTCAGTGCCTTTCAGCAGCCTGATTTGCGAGATTTAGGAAGAGTCATGGTAGAATCATCAGTCTTGCCAAGGAGCCACCAAGCCAGCGGCGTTCAGAACTGTGTGATGAGCCACTGGTGGACCAGCAGTTTCCGGGCTGGGACTTTGTGTTCGCAACAGTCGCCCAACGACAAATGATGCCAGGTCGGATTGGACTTCCTGCTCAGCAACATGCGAGAGAGGTTTCTCCACGCGCTCGAGGTACGTAGAGGTGGACCTTGGCATGTGGGCAAACTCATTGGCCTCATTGCTAGTTGGCTTGGCGACTGCCTTGCAGTCACCATGTATACTGCCCTACTGTAGAGCTGCGACAGGTCAATCCTCAAAACGGCGGGGAGTCGTGTCCCACCAGCGTCAAGGATCACGATGCACTTCAATGTTCTCAAAGTTTGCTTGAAGTCTGTAGTTGAATGGAAGCATCGGTCTGTTCAACGAGCGTCCAAGAAGCACGATGACAATCCTGTCCCAGCAGGAGATGAAACTTTGCAATGACGGCGTCAGCTGCTTCCAAGGGCGCGCCTCAATCTTAGAACCATTCCTTGCGAGAATATGAATCCCAGTGCTAGTGTTCTGAAATGTCGTATGCAGGGGTCAATACGTCATGGCAGAAAGGTCAGCCTTCAGGCTGCGGTGGATGTGCATCGTTGCCACCAGCAAGCATACGGTAGCTGTCGCAATGAAAGCCAGAAAAACCTTGCAAGTACAGGGCAGACAGAGTGAAGGTAATGCCTTGCAAATCCTCTTGCAAAGTGGGAGATGTTGCCAGTGCTGGAAGTTCTGAGGTTGACTGTGTTTGGGAGGAATGGACGGCATGGAGCGCGTCCTGTCCTCAAGAAGTGGTTCCGGGTGGTTGCTCACAACACTGGTCTTCACTTGCAGCAGGTGTGACGCGTTCGATCTTGCCACGCGCACTCGCGGTTATGCTCGTCATGCTGCCGGGCCCTCATGCCTGGTCAAGCTCACCATGGTGCCGGAGCTCTTGTCCGATACGTCAGGAATCCGGTGGCCTTGACTGTTCCGGACCCATCCGGGAAGTCAAGGGCTGCAGCAGCGACGGAGGGAGCTCTTGTTCAGTTTCCTGGTGGCTGCCTCAAGGGGCCTGTTATTTTGTGGTCGAAGAAAGCGGAGAAGAGAGAGATCCATTCCGCGAGCAATGGCCCTCGGAGTGCCCCAGACCTCCCGGCTGAATCCCCCAGGGGAAGCTGGAGCACAGGAGCGGTGCAGAGAGATTCCCAACGACACAAATGAGAAACAGAAAGCCCACAACGACGATGTGACTGCTGTGCCGGCGGCTGCCTGCAAAGCTCCCTAACATCTTCCGACATGACCTTGCAGCGAGAGGGCCTTGAACCTTCCTTATAAGATGCAGCGAAGAGTGAAGAGGATCAGGCAGATTGCTCAGAGCTCGCAGCAACGCCGGTTCCGTCTCTGCTGCGAGGTACAACTGCTCCTGGAGCCACGGTCCCAGCGTGGTCAAGCTTCGCACGTCTCAGAGGGAAGCAGGTCTTTCAATTAAGGCCTCTTCGCCAACACCCTCCAAAGCCCACAAAAGGAAAGCAGATGGGTTCGGTGTGTGGGCACTTCTGTAGATTTCCTGAACTATCCGGTTTGGGCATCTGACAGGATGGATTTTAACAGGTGTCGCAATCTGCTGAATGGGATCCAGCCTCTCGGTGTATCTCCACTGTACTCTTTCTGAAAACGTGCGAGTGGACTTTGGCTTTTGCACTGGCCCTTGGCGAGTTCTATGAGGTGTCAGTATTCATCTACTTCTTGCAAAGATCTTGATTGTTCAGAGCACTGGAGGGCTGCGCATGCAAGAAGTGCAGCCGCATGATGTTTCTTGTAACCGAGCACTCAGTGCCGCTGGTATGATGGATGGCGCTGACAGCCCTCACGGACATATCCATCTGGAGCAGCAAGCGTATTGGGTGGGCAGCACGTGAAGTCTGTTTTGTGATCGCTTCAGGTCAGTGGTCAGCTTGGTCAGCCTGTTCAGCTACATGTGGACGCGGAGGAGTCGCACGCTCAATGAAAGTCCAACAGCATGGCTCTTGCACCAGTCGTGTGTTGGGTCGCCTGAGGTGCAAGCTCGCAAGCGTCAATTGCAGGAAGCTTCTTCCCGATGTCGTCCGACGTGTCACAGTCTGCATCATGAGTTGCAGGTGGGCCATAGTTCCGTGGATGCACCGGTGTCTTCCTCAAACCGATTGAATCTGCCGGGCCGAAGAGCTTGTACTAGTTACTAGTTTATGTTGAAGGCTGCTGGCCTCGTCGTCAGTGCGTTGGCTCCACAGCTGCGGACTCTTTGGAGGGTTCATGGGACCCATCCATTTGCCTTCCGTGCTTGAGGTCAGGGGCAAGGAGGCAACCTGACGGTTCATCAATCGCTTCCGAGCACCAAATTGGGCCGACGGAAGTTGCCCTCGCCCCGAATCCTTTGACGGCCTTGAGAGAGTCTGCTGATGTAGCAAGCATGTGTTGAGGTGGACTTCAATTGTGCGGAGAACATGAACTGGCAAGATGATTGGCCTCACGATGTGAAAGCCTACTGCTGCCTGACGCTGAGCACCTGTGTCCGCTGCCATCGCAGCAGACTCCCTGAAACGCGCGTTCTTACAAGGTGTTGTCTTGACCGTGCTTTGCGAAGTCGTAGGACTGCTCTTGAGGTCAAAGGGGTATCTGCGAGGCTGGTTGCAGTCGCTGTTCGAGCATCCGTCTCCTTCCTTTCAGCACGACAGTTTCGCCAGGGCCAGGCGGCTGCTGCGTGCACGCCCGAGCGACGCAGTATCCGCCACACTTGCGAGCTGTGTCGGCATGTGCAGCTTCTGACTCCACCTCGCCTCTAAGTCCAAGCGCCGAATATTTGCCCAGTGACGACCCTGTCTTGGAGGAGATGTCTGGAACTTGGATGGTTCTAGAAAGCCCAAAAGCACAGCTTCCTCAGCATGACGAGGTCACCTTCGGACACCGTCATCCGGTACGACCGGCATGGACTGTCCTCGCTCAAGGAGCAGGCGGCCGTTCAGTGTCAGGGTGCGACCCGCGTGCGTGGGCCTTCCCCTTCCACTTCCAGGTGAAAGCTGCAGAGGAACGACACCACAGGGCAGCTTGTCTTGGTCAGATGGCAGCCTCGGCAGCCGTTGAGCTTTCTGAAACCGTCCTGGCTGACCGCAAGATATTTGCAATCGTCGTTGCGTCCGCAAGGGCTTATGATTCATTCGATGCCCAGGACCGCTTGGTTGCCTTCATCCTAGGCAGCGGATGCTTGGATCTCGTCGACAATCTGTGCAGTTTGCTGGTGCCTCTTTGAGCTTGTCGTGAGGTCTCCTCAGCGCATTAATTCTTAGCAGCCCTGGCCTCAGCCTGTTCGTGGAGACAGCCCTTGACTCACTTAAGCCTCAGGAGTCTTTTCCACCAGCAGATCCGCTGCTGAAGTGCTTCCAAGGCCAGGGCCCTAGATCGTATGGCAAGCACAGTACCGCCTGCCACGGAAGGTACGACGCCGTACATCAGATTCTTTGACACGTGACCAGACTGCTGTAGTAGTTCGTGGTTTTGGCAGCGAGATTGAGCCAGCGAGCTGTAGCCAGCGAGCCATACACGAAACCATCATTGCAAGAGTGCCAAAAGGCTCGGGGCAGAGGCCCGCATGTGAGGTCGCTCAATCTCCTGCATTTTTGTATTGATATCTGCACCAAAGGTTGCCTGAGTTGCACAATTCAGCAGTTCTGGGCGTCTGTCATTGAACAGATTGTGGCCGAAACGCAAGACTTTAGAACACATTGCGAGACAGACCTTGACCTACTCGCACCTAATTAATTATGTCGGCTGATTGTCTAGATTTTAGTTGAGTTAAATGTCGCGAAGGTTTATGCTTCAATGAGTGAAAGTATAAGGTTCGGAACTTGCAAGACTTCTTTGTGAAATTCGGTGCTAAAGAGTTCCGCTTGCATGTTTCAGTGGCTTGTGCAAATGCATGGCTGCAAAACGCACAACATGATGGCTTCCAGTGGATTCAGCTCTGTTGCATTGGTTCGTTTGTTCTTGGAGAAGCTGAAAAGCCAGCTTTGACTCATCAGCTCAAAGTAGAAGAACCACGTACCAGCTCAGGTAGCAGACCCTCTTAAGCTAAACGCAGTCGGGCCGATAGTATCTCTGCAAGAACGAGCAGCTCCAACGGCACGAGGAGTGGGACAGTGTGGTTCTGAAAACTGCCTCCGCAATGCGCCGATGTAATTTCCGGGAAGGCGCCGTGATGAGGCGATCAAGAAAGGATGCAACGAAACGTTTGTGAAGGTGCAGGCCGTCACCGGCCAGTCATTTGCACAAGGACGGGCTACTTCCCAACCCATGGCCCTCCACTTTGATTCTGGCACCGGCCATAGCATCTGAACCGCCGAGGGTCTTTGTGGCTGGTTCTTGCGGGGCTTGTGAAATTACTCGAGGAATTACTTGATCGGCTTCGGTGTCGCATCAAGCCCAGGTTGTCATCAAGGAATCACGACGAAAGCATCGATAAAGACACTAGCGGAGAAACCGGCGGCAGTCTGTGGGCAGAGTACACCCAGTTGGGCGAACTGTCCCCACGCACTTTCCGTTTCGGTCGGGTGGTGGATCCAGGATCGGATTGGACTGCTCGTCGACCTTTGTCATGATCAGCTTCTGACTTTCTGTAGAGGGCACTTGTGACTTGAGGACACATGGCATGGTCGCGGGCGTTGATGCTGCTGCTGAGCATCCCATGTGTGAGCTGCTCAAGGGGGAGGGTCGTGAACACCCACGACAGAAGTGAACATCTTTACATCAGGCCTCCGGAGATGCTTGCAACAGATCTTGCCTCAGTCTGCCCACGCGGCTTCTCCCCTCGTTTGTACTGGGTTGGGTTGCGTGGTATGCTACGCCAGCCAAGGCAGCGCGGTGACGAGCCTCCCGCCTTTCGTGGACCACAAGACAGTTCGCAAAGGCATTGCGCTGGAGCTGGCATCGTTAAGAATCGGCGGTTGATGCCCGTGCAGGTCAAGGCGAAATGATCTGGAGCTTCCCCCCTCCTGCAGAGGCGACATGTCTGGGGATGCCTGTGCACGAGAGGTGAATTCACTTGTACCTGCCGGGTGCTTCCAGGATTTCGGCATAGTGCTGACGCCGTCGAACAGCTCAGTGAACCCCGACATGAGGCGGGGGAAGCGATTGTGAACTGCAGTTGCATGGTAGCAATGAGTTGGGACTGGCAGGCTCTACATGGCCTCACCCGCGACTGCATGTCAGCCCATGCTGAATTCACAGGATCACGTTGAGGGAAATGGTTGTGCATGGTTGTTCGCCAGCAATGACTTGAAGGCTGGGATTAGAGGCTCGGGTTCGGCTCCCTGACAGGTCCTGTGCAACTTGTTTTGGTGCAGTGTTTGCTCGTGATCTTGGCTCTGCGATCGGCTGCTTCCTTGCGTTGAAGTGGTCCGAAGCTGTTCCAAGGGTCTGGTCTTTTCAATTTTGTCAGATGCCCGGGTTGCACATTTATGGAGTGAGCAGCAAGTGCAGCAAGCACCGGACTGAATTTCTTACATGTCATTTCCTGCAGATCGGGGTCGCGCCGGTAGTCATGTCACAACGTCTTGTCCACAAAAGCACAAAATGTGACAAGGAGCTTGGCGCAGATTACATGCGGCTCGACAGGAATCTGACCGAGTTTTGGAACGTCCCTGGCACAGCAAGCATGCCAACAACTCGAAGAATCACGTGGGTTGAGAGGGCAAGTGGATGCGCCCAGGTTTCGGCGTACTTCCTCCATGTCACCTGCAGGGATGAGGTGCCGCATGGGTTTGCCCCTGTCAGCTTCGGCTGCTCCGAGAACCATGAACTTCTTGGCATCCCTGCGCAGACGTCACCGTAAAAACAAAGCCCAAAGCGTCGACCAAGGGCACTCAAAGGTCGTCAGACATTTGGGACTCTGCAGGAGACGTGCCGGTATCACTTGGCCTTTTCGAAGTTGGAAGAGTGGGAGGCTGGGCCGCCGGGGAGGCCGGGCGCTGGAGTGCTTTTCGCTTCCAAGACGTCTGGCAGGAGATGGCAGATGGCGAGCAAAGGTCTGCGATTGCCTACCACGGAGTGCCCCTCCATTTCAAGTTTCTATGCGCAGCGAAGTGCGCACCCCAGCTCTTTGTCGCCCTGCTTGGAGCTGTTATCTCTTGTCTATCTTCTTGCGAGGTGCGCCAACTCATCAGAAGCCAGTACACAACAGCGGATAACGTTCAGGCAGGCCAATGTCGTGTATGGCCGGACGAGTTTCGTGCTGCTCACAAGCTCGCATGCCAGTGCATGGCCTCGAGATGCATCTTCACGGAGACATTTGTCGCTTCTGGCTGGGTCCTCGAGGCTGAAACTGACTCCTCAACAAGCAGATGCCTTGCCATCACTTCAGGTCCGCCGTGGCGACTATCCGACCACAAATGCTCACGAGCACATCAATGCCAATCCCTTAGCACAGGTTGTGGCAGGGCTTGACCTTGGACGGATGGATCAAGTGAAGCCAACAAGGTAACATGTCTTGCAGAACTTTCTAGCATTTGTTGAAGCAAAGTTCTGCCCCGGAAGGCAAGCAGAGGATGGTTTAGCGGGGAGGCTCTGGCGGTCCTCGGTCCTCTCGCGTTGCCCGGAATGTGAGTTCACAAGCTCAGTGCGCAGGTGGTCAGCATAACTGCGAAAGCAGGAACTTACTACGTGACAGTGCTGAAAAGGCCGACTATCAGCCTCCTTTGTCAAAATTCAACTTGCTTCCTCCTGTGAGGCACGGTCTTTCGCCTCTTCCGTTCGTGATCTCTGTGACGACGGCTCCTTTCGACACTCTGAAATGCCGAATCACGAGTATCTTTCCAACGCTGGCCAGGTGTCCCTGCCATCGACGATCGAGACGCTGCAGCTGGGAAAGCCAACTTTTGGAGCTGCGCAGAAGCCGGGAGCACTCAGTTTGTGACAGCACAAGTTTTCTGGGACTCAACTTCTACGAGGCATCTGAAGTTTCCTGAAGCTGTGGGTGAAGCGAAGAGTTGGCAAGTCGTAGATGGGGAGTCAAGAAGTAGAACTTGGACCAGAGTTTCAAGAGGCTTCTGAAGCCAACGAGATGCAGCACCCGAGGGGCGTCCCATCCTTCTACAAGTTCTATGTGGCTCGAGCTGAGACTGACATCGAGGCCAGAGGAAGTGTGAGACTTGAGGTGTGTGCCTTGCGTCTATGTTGTCTACCCAAACTTCTTTCATTGGGCTATGTGCACATGCACGCCAGCTCTCCCTTTGCCTTGTGTTCCGCCTCGTCTTCGTTCTATACATTGACACGCACGGACACCACATAGATTTATATTATACATCTACTTAGGTATCTATCTATCGATCTATATACATACAGAAAGCGCCGCATTGCAGGCCCAAGTTTTGAAGCCTTCTGTTTGCACACTAGAGGCTCTGTATATATATATATATATATGTACATATGTACACAAACACACACTTTTGTGTGGTGCTCTTGGTTCTGTCGCTCTTCGTTTCTGCTTCTTTCCTTTCATTCGGAAGCTCTTCCCACATTTCTGTGAGTATGCATTTGCTTTGTTTCCTTTCAGGTGCAGACATAAGGGGGAACAGACTGCAATCGACATGCAGGTTTACCTCACCAAGCTGGACGGAGATCCGGACTGCGCAGTGTCTCACCAACAGGATCTCACGCTCTCTTGGCTGAACCCCACACGTCACACGGCCCCAAGCCACGGTGCTTCATAACGAGGAGAACGAGCGACCGAGTCTCAGCAAGTCTCAGTGGTGCGCAAGCTCAGACACGTCCAAGTCTGCATTTTCTCCGCATTGTCTTTACGGGTTGGAGATGTTGATCTCCGTCTCAGGCGCTCGGCAAAGGCCGGGGACGACGAGATCTCGATCGCACCGGCAGTCATCACAGCGAAGATAAGATCTTCCAAACATGCGACAGTCAGGGGCAGTGGGCTTCGAAGTCTGTGGTCGCAAAGGCTGATCCAGAACGCAGGCGGCATCGGACTGGATGGCCAGCAGCTTGCAGACTTGCCAGCTGAACTTCCGACTGCTCTCGTTTTCCGATGTGTTCTACCAAGGTTTCACGTGGGAGTGCACAGCCTGTCCGAGGCCACAGAGCACCAACTCCGGCCTGTGTGCCGTGTGTTGTGTGTTGCCTTGGGAGGATTCGACGTTCTCCATCATTGCTTTTGCCTTGGCCTCGGCTTACATGCTTCGGTACTTGGAACCCTCGGCATTCCCCAGCACTTTGCATCGACAGTATAATCAATACACAGGCCAGTCATACGCTTTGGCACGAGCCTCGTGAAGTTTTGCACATGTGAGACCATGTACATGCTCGCATCAACGTGGTCAGCCAGGAGAATTGTGCTGATCCACACTGCTGTTGATGATGAAGCTCACGACTTCTTTGCCTAATGCTTTTTGATGGCATTTGTAGGATTTGGGAGCCAACGCTCGCTTGTCTCGTATACTCTGGCAACAGAAAGCAACACGGACTTGCGCCATCAATCCCTGAAAGACTTGGGACAGCATCCAGGGCCAAAGCCGAGTTGGTTCAGAAGTCCTCGACACAACACCTCTGTGAGCCCGCCGTTGCGTATTTGGGGCCGCGGCTTGCTGAGCCAGATCGCGACGAACTTACACCGGAGGTACTAACGAACACAATCGACGGCCCTTGTGCGCACCTGTGCGCATCAGTGCCCAGTGTGCATCAATGTGTGCTGGGGGAGCAGGGTTCGCCCACCAGGCCTTAGCAGCCCGGACAATTGGGACTCGCGATCTGAACGCTCCATCATGTTCCCTCTTTCTCAAAATTTTGGAACATCTCCGCCCCTTAATTGCATCATATGCCTGCTTCCCACGACGAGGAGAAGAGTGAGCCACTGCGGCCCGGCATTGAGAGTTTGAGCTAACAGCTAACAGATGCAACGACGAAAACTCCGGGCAGAGCCACTTTGGTTGACGGCGGAGGAAGCGGCGAGTGGCTGTCGGTGGCGGAATGAAGCGAGAGCACCCGGCCGCCGCGACGGCTGGTTCGGACATATTCGGACATGAGAAGGTTTTTGGTTTGCCGGAGAACTTCGAGATGGACGGTGAGGCAAAGCCCACTCATGTCGTCGTTTTCTGCGCAACCCCCATGGCGTGAGCATGTTTTCCCAGCCGGGTCAAAGAGCACTGTGATGCTGCGGTCGTGGTGGCGGATTCAGGAAAGGCGGGGTTTTGTTGGCCAGAGGACGATTCCCACACCTTGAGAAAGCTTTTCGTGACTCTGCCTGCTGCAGCGGTAAGTTCTCGGGAGATGATTGATAAGTTTGCAGTGAATATGTGGAGCTGGGCGAGGCAGAGAACCACGTTGAGCAAGCAGCTGACACCGAGCAGGGCAAGGACAACGCAGCCGTGCTCTAGTTACTAGTTACTGGATGGTTGGGATGTTTGTTCTCACAGGATGGTTACATGATCCAGTGGACCGAGCTCTGGATGGGACTTCCCCAGGCCGGTTGCCGCTTTAGTGCACGACGCTTTTGTGCAAAGAGGGTGCGTGTGAGGCCTTGGCGGCGCAGCCAGGTCTGCGGGCACGCCTTATGCATGTCCCCCCACACTACGCAATTACTTCTGCAGAGCTTCAGCATGTTTCAGCACATGCAGAGAGCGCCACTGTCCATGGTGCCACGGATCGTGCAACGTCAATGCAAAATTGGCTTGGCTGGGTCAGGGTTGATGTGGGGTTGATCTGCAAGAAAACGAGAAAGCCAGGGAGACCTGCCAATTTCTTGTACTACAGCCAACTGGCTGGAACCTCGGGCTTGTCAGCTGCACGATGCTTTGTGCCTGGAGAATCTTGGCTTGGCTTCTGCTTGGCCCTACCTCTCGGGTTGGCAGGCAGCTCCCAAGCTCTTTGTGAACATTGAGGTGCCTGATGCGCTGCACGTACCTTTCAGTCTGTAGCTATTCTTGCCATCATGCCGGTCTCTGCATGAGTCCGTCAGATGACGCCAACCTATGGACATAGCATGTTGTCTGCCAAAATCCATGCCTGCTAGAGTTAGGGAGGCAAGTTGGTCTCTCGGATGTGCGGCTGGCCATCAGTTGCAGATCACAGCATCGACTCCTCGTGCTGCGACCGTCATGCTGTTTTCGTGTGCAGGCGATCGAGGGCAATAAGCCGGACGTGTGCGTGCGCGCCTCGAACCTCTGGCAGCGTTCGCGAAGTACGAGCCGCCGGTTTTCCTGAGGTGCAGAACTGCGGTGAAGATCCGCACAGGCTCCTTCTGTCTGCATCACCGAAAATGTAGCTGCCTGCACAGCAGGTGTCCCTGGATCTCGATCTTTGCATCAGAAACCACGCTCCTTGAAAGTGAAAGCAGGCTTCAGCAATGTTTGCAGTTGAAAAAAACAAGCAGAGCCGAGGCGAGCAAGTGCCCCGGACACTGCGGTGCAACCCCAAGATTCCGTTGCCGGATCAGCGGCATCGACGGGCCGGGGCTCGCTGTCTGAGGTATCTTTCTGTGGAGAGGGATCGCTGCGCGGGTATGCCGGGGATGAGCAGGCGAAGCCGGCAATAGCAATCGCCTCCAGCAGGATGCGGATCGAAGACTTTCACGTTCAGGTGACGATCCTGAAGCCCTGCACCAAATGCTGGTACACGGTGCTCACACCGGCATGCTAACAGGAAGCCTTCGCATTTGTAGTCTTTGACAGGTGCTCGTGACCAGCGCGCTGAAGCGCAGCAGGTGTTTGCTTCCCCGCACATGTCGCTTCGAAGTCTTTCATCCGAAGGTTCAAGATACAACTGGGAGCTGAAGGAAGAGCACACCCGCTCGTAACTGCCCAAGCTTCTTTGTAACAGAGTTTGAGGCCGAGAGTTCTGTGAGAGTCGATCCGGATGTCGTCACAGACACTTCACGGCCTCACCACAGTTCAATTGAACGGCTTGCGACAGCGACACGGCCACGTTGCTCACAACGGATACAACTATTGCCGTTGCGCAAGGTGGAAGGCGAGTCCTTCAAAGGTCATGCAGACAGTGGTGACGCGTGTCCTGTGCTGGCGTGAGCCTCAAGTATGTGAGTAGAAATGAAGCAGAGTTTCACGAGCCCGGGTTCGTCTTCTCTGGCAAGATTACAAGGCCTACGACTTGCTGCAGTCTGAAATCGAGAGCCACGCAACACCGGATGCGACCCTGCAGATCTCCATGACGCCTGCATGATCCCCGGCCAGGGGTCAATTGTTGACTTGATGCCCTCATTCGTCAAGCCTGGTCTTCGGCCGGAAGAAGAAACCTCGCAGCCGAGATCTACGGCGAGCCAGTGTTCGATGTGAGAAAGGACTCGGAGGCTCGGAGGACCCTCGAGGAGGACCGCTTTGACGATGTGGTTTCCATTTGGAGGACGGGAAAGTGCTCTTCAACTCGTCTGGAGCCGGTGTGGGCCCAGAGCTTGGACCAGCCACTCTCTTCAGCAGCCGCCGTTTCCGAGGCCACGACTCCTGGCAGCTGAAGCTGAGTTCGGACCTTGCCAAAACTGCGGCTGGAATCTACTACGTCCAGGTGTGGCAGGCTCCTGCTCCTTTATCGGCTTCGTACTGGCCTTTGGGAGGTGTGTGCAGCAGGACCACAACACGCGACGCACCTGCACGCTTCCGTTGAGACCTGGCTTGTTGTGGCGCCATTTCGGTGAGGTTGGAATGTGGTTACTGCTCACTCACGGCGTTGCGAGTAGAGCGCTTGCCACAAACCCAAGAATCAAAAGTCTGGCTTTCTAGTGGCTTTATAGCCAGGACTTGGGTCGGACTGCCAAAGTTGTGCCATGCGCGCCAAATCCATGAAAGCTGGACGGGTGCCAGGCAATTTCGCATCACCGTGGCATGGGACAAGCCTCTGCTGAGGCCACAGACGGTGAGACAAGCGTAGACTAGACGACTAGACGGCATAGAGCCTCTCAGAGGCCTGGCACGAGTGGGAAGGTTGTGCCTAAGCTCGTGCCTAAGCTCGTGCCGAAGGCTGTGCCTTGTGTAGTACCAAAGAAACGAGGAAGCTTGGTGTTGCCATGCTGAACGACGGAGAGGCCTGGGGCTTGGGCGGCTTGGGCGGCTTGGGCGGCCTAGCAAGCTCAACTAATGTCAGCCGAGGTTCAAATGGGGAGCATATCTGCCAAGAAGCTGGGTTCTTGTTATGAGGGTGCAGTGCTGCACTTCAGACCCTGCAAGTTTCTACTTGAATACTTCCAGGCATGATGTCTACCTCTTCATTCCGGCTCGATTCTCAGCAACATCTGCAGCTGAGATGTCCTCTCCCAGCGAGTTGCAGCTAGGCTTCGGTGGAGCAGTCGCCCACCATCAGGGTCTCCGTCACGTCTACGAGCACTGCGCTGAGCTGAAGGAAGGTAGTGCTTGTGGCACGGTCCCATGCCACCGCAGGTGGAGAGTGCAAGCTGTATGTGCTGGCTCCGAAGTCAGGCCCCGGCCCTAGTACGGCTCGGCAGAGCACTCCCTGCAACCGTTGTGATCAGGATCTGAGAGCAAAGCGAAAGAAGCCATGCGCACATTCCTTCAAAATCCTGCTGTGCCTTGTCGGAGATTGATACCCCACAACGGTCCATACCACGGATCTTGGACCTGCTGTAATCTAAGCTCCAAGTACAATGAACAGGACGTGGCAGATTGGACAACGGTCACGATCTGAGAGAGACTCATTCGGTTGTCTCGGGATTTTCTAACCGAGAGAAGATAGATAGCTCCACTGTATTGTGGATCACACGTCACAGAGGCTGAAAAAGATTCCTCGGAGATCGTCATTTCACCTTCTGATGCAAAGTGCGCAGCTGTGCAGTATGCTGCTGTGTTCCGTGCAGAAGGATGTATGCCGCAGCAACTCGGAAGTTCAACGTTTTTACATTTCAGCAGCTAGAATGCCGCAGGTACGTTTCGCCGACTTCGTCGAATCTGTATGTGTTCCTGGTGTCTGCAGAGGGAGACACAGCTCCTGGCCAAGTCCAGGGAGGCAGCCGTCCTCATTTGAATTGCCATGCTGTGAGGAATTTGAGATCGCTGCCTCCACCGGAGGTGTGGAGGCTGGAGCTTCAATCCTTCAGATGCAAGAACCACCTCAGTCTGTCGGGTCAGGAATTGCTGACTACGGGCCTGCCGCTGCGAGGGGAGGTCGCACGAGGGGAGCGGGGACCTCAGAGGCCTTCCCAGATTGATATTTCAGAGCGGCGTGGCGCCCTTGCCAGAGCTCCCTAGGTATCGCAGGTATCGCGTTTCCATTGCAGAGGCGGGGGGGGGACGAGGGGAAGATGTGGTCTCGGTTGGCATCTCCAAGTCCAGGCTGGCAGACATCTGTCCATCCAACTCACCGCCGAGAACGGGGACTGTGACCTTTACGCTGCTCAATATTATGCTTAAGAGCTCAAAAACACGGGTCCATGAATCGGTTTCCGAGCCGAGGTTCACATCGTCCCAGACGTCTCATCGGAAAGCTTCGTGTTAAGGCGACTTGCAACCTGCCGTCTTGTGTGGGCCACTTAGAACGATGCGAGCCAATCTGAAGGTTGATATAGTATTAAAGAATGATGATTTTGAGGGTTTCTTCGGTCCACTGTTGCCAAACAAGTCACAGAGCACACTGGCGTGTTCTGATAAGCGAGGCAAACTTCTCGTTTCAACAAATGCAGCAGCCAGGAGGCCAGACGCGAAACACCGCCCACATCCGAAGCTTCTTGCGGAGGTCAGCACCTGTCAACGGCCCCCTAGGACTTTGTCTCCTGCTTTTCGACGGCACCCACAATGGGCGGGGAGGTCAAAAAGCGCCTAGTGGTCTGCAACAGCTGGACTTGGAAGAAGAGGGAACGTAGCCAAACGAGGCGTGCAAGGGACCCGAAACATGCCGTGGCCATAAAGATTCGGCCGGCAAAGCATTGAACAGTAAATCCTCGCAAATCACTTTGCATTTTCAGCCCCGTCGTGGCACCAGCAACTCGGCATCAGTTGCCGTGGAGCCTCTTGCGAGACGAAGACAGTGCCGGTGTGCATCATGAGCCCCGTGGCTATGCGCAGGTCGGAGAATGTTGGTTCTGACTCCATCTTTGTCGATGCCTTCAGCGATCTCAACCAGATGCATTGTGGCGAAAAGGTGAGGACACTGCCTGTGCTGCCATGTGGCGATACTTTCCCAGCCTTCGGCTGCAGATGATCCAAACCTATGGTGAGTGTGTGTACTTCGTTGCCATCAAAGGGATCTCTACACAATCGGCCTTGGCCCCAAGATGGTTCCAACACAATGGATGGGAAGCTTTCGTGCTGCCTCTCCTGAACTCCGCCAAGGTTTACCAGCTTCAAGCCATCGTTCCGGCAGCTCTACCACTGCCGCTGACGATGCATGACTCTCGGTCTCAGTGACCTTGTGCGGCCGCCGGCCTGGCTTCAAATTCTGGAAGGTCCACCAGCAGAGCCGTGACGCTGCCACCAGGCACGGGCGGCTTCGTTCAGTGTGCCTTCAGTGATCGTATCGAGTTCCCCTCCGGCATTTCCGCGCAAAGTCAAAGAGCCCATGAAAGCCTCAGCTGCATCGGTGTCGAGGGGACGAGCTGGTACTTCGCTGATTGCACTGCGCTGACAGGTGGCATACAGTATTTCTACACGCCGGCGGAGCGCTCTAAGTCGACTCTGATCGAGGCTAGCTGTTGTGTTTAGGTCCGTTTAGGTGTTCAGAGGATCAGACAACGGCTTGACTTGACTTCCGCGCCTCAACTCCTGCGCATCCCCGCAGCCGTGGAATCGCTATCCATTCAGGCAGGCAGCTCATGACGGAATCCTGCAAGTAGTAGTTCATGTTTAATCCAACTCAGCACTGGTCAAGTAGGATGCATGCGCAAGATGGTTTGGAGCAGCGGCGTGCTGACATGGTGGAAGGGAAGCAGAGAAGGCACAGCGGGACCGTGAACTGGTCTCAGCGGGTTCTCTCGGCGGTTGTGTTCGTGCTTGTGGTTCTCGTTCTGGCAGCAGTCTTGCAGACCTATCGGCGATTCTCGCATCAGACTCATGGCGAAGTGATGACGGAGTCGCAGGCCCAGGCTGAGGACGGGGCTCAGGTTCGGGACCCTACCGAGGCCTCCCGGCAACAGGCCCCTGAACAGTCTGGACCTGGTGTTCTAACTTATCGGGCACCAACGGAATTGGAAGAGCCAAGGAAGAAACACAGGTCGTCAGTGCCCGAGCACATATCAGGTGAGCTTGCAGAGAGTGCTCTGAAAACAGCAGAGCATGTAGCATCGACGATCAAGTATGGATACGGTTCAGTTGTGAAAGCCCACAGCAAGTTGAAGAAACTTGTCGCGAACGAGCCTGAGCACAAGAAGGACTGCAAACCACCGCGTCTTGAAGTTCTTGGAAAGTGCGCCTGCCCAGCGGGTTTACGATGGGATTCCGCCGAGGACTCCTGCCGCACCAACAGAGGTGCCATGTATTTCTACATGTACAGAGGGCAGAGCGATCACAACTATCCCATGAACAACGTTGACATGGCCGACTTGGCAGGTGTGCTGTACTACCTACATCACGAGATTGTAAAGACAAATGCTACGCCCGGTGTAAGAATGAATGGCATCACGCGAATCCTCCGTTGGCTGGTTACAGTTCGACCGTCGCAGGAAGTAGAGGAGGGTCAGACGTTCATGCCCTTCGTGGCCTTTGATTCTGGCAGGTGTAGCGTCCCAGGTTGCAACCGCCTATGGGATCACTATGGTTTTGCCGTTGGCTGCCAACGACTGTCACAGGGCACAGATCTGAAATATGCGTATCAGTCTCCCAACAATCCCTTTGGCGTGTGGTATTCCTTGCCCGGTCCTTGCCCGGCATTGCGAGTCGGGGAGAAGGCGGGGTGTTCTTGTAGTCAGACTTTTCAAGCCCGTTCCTGACACGTTGTTCATAGTTTTTGCATGCGGTGTACTTCTGTGGCTTACAGTGAATGGACCCAGACATGCCGTCTATCAACATTGCATGCAGTCGTTTTTTTGGGCTTTGTTTCACGGTTCTCTTGGAAGCTGTGACTCGCTGTACTTCGATCCTGGGTGCAGACGACGTGACGACTAGCAGCTAGCACATGGGACGGGACAGCTACTTGCAAAGAGGTTTTGAGTTGTTTCTCCTGCCCTTCCTAGCTTGGAATTGGACGTCGTCCAGGTGACAAGTTAGCTTCGGAGTGTATCCTTGCAATTCTTTATGCTTTATTGTGCTCATGGCAGCCGCCCGGTAAGGCGACATGTGCCGTTTCTTTTTTGCCCTATCTATCGATTTTTGCCGAAGTGCTTTGACAGGATGGGCGCTGCATGGCAATGTACCGTGGAGGAATGTGTGAGGACCTCGAGGAATCCGAGCACTGCACGTACACTGTCGATTTTGCCGGCGAGATATTCCTTGACGAACTAGAGGGCGTCAAGGACTTCGGAAAGTGGCAGTCTGACGGCAACAGAGAGTATGATCCTACGACGGACAGGGGAACCGGCACGTCCTTCTGGAACTTTCGTGACAGCAAGGCGTGGTGTGATCGAAGAACTGCTCGAGTTCAATCACTTTTCAAGCGACGCTATCCCTTGCTTCCGCAAGATCTCCCAGCACCAGTGTGCTGATGCCAGGAATTGCGATACTCATACTCTTGATTCTCTTCAGGCTTCTTCTGAGGCCAAAGTTGTGTAAATGTGTCCACAGAGTTGCAGCTATGTCCTTGAAAGGCGACAGGCTCACACGGTCTAGAGACTAATGCCAAGACGCTGGCGAACCTGCCGAAGTGCTAAGGTGTAGTCGGTCTGTTCCTAGGTCAGAGTATGGTTGAACCCGATGGCACTTTTAAGAAGTTGCCAGCCCGGGTTTAATCTGCAGTAGCATGCCAGTGTTGCTGGCCAACAAGCCGCAGTCATTGCGAGATGGAAAATGGGGCCCCGTCCTGCGAGATGAAGCAGCATTCCCTGTGCGCTTAACAGATTGCGAGATGGATGGTCTTCCTACAGGTAGAAGTGCGGAATGGAGCCTTGAACCAAGTGGCAATGAAGGCCTGCAAGCCAGGCGCTAGGCGGCTGCCTTGGATTTTACACGGGTTGTGCATGGTACCTGCAGGTGATGCCTCTGGCAGAAGCCAAACATCCAAATGCCTCCAAACTTGGTGAGGCCTTCGTAAGGGATACAGAAAGTCGCGATTTGGCTGATTTCGAGCCTCGCTTCAGGTTGACATGACGGGCACCTTCTTTGCAGGGGTCGGGATCTCGCAGTCTTTCTGGGATTCAGATGTCCACATACGTCGAGACCGAGCATGTGTTCCCGTCTGTGCACAAGAGAGTCATGCGAAGCACAAAAGCCACGTGCATGACACGTCTCTCACAAGGCAGCCTGCCTTCTGCGTGTTCTCTGTCTCCTCTTCTTCTTGGCTGTACTTCTTTCGTGTGTGGCTCTCCTGATCTCATGCTTGTCCGAGGTGTGGAGCTTGATGCTCGAACCGACAAGGTGAGGCAGCCAGATTTCTGAATGTCGGACCAGGCATGTTGCTGGCCTTCTTCTCCCACGATCTGACTTCCATGTCTGCAGATTTTCGGCTGTGTGTACATACTGAACTCTGAACTGTGTCTCACTTCTAACATTCCAAAGCCATGGCGTCATGGAAGGAGTGGCGGAGGTCAGGGGCATCCCAGCTAAAGTATTGTCGGGAAGTAGGGACGGGGGCGAGTGTGGGCTCCATAACATGCGTATACGGCGCTGCATGTATTTCACGAAAGATTCTGCATCTCCTTACAGGGTGCCGGGTACAGAGGCACATCCAGGGGCCATTTACGAAGCGATGAGCCTCTAGCTTGTCATTCGGATTTTGCCAGAGCACAAACTTAATGAAGCTATGGAGGCCTCAAGACCCAAACCTCTATGAGCAAAAAACCCTGTAGAAAGTACAGTAGAACGGTCCGAACCTTTATGCCAAGCGTTTTGGTTTCTCATTGTTTTGTCAGTGAATGATGTGTTTGTCGAGAGAGGGGCTACTCCCAAACACCATCTGCAGAGATTTCCCTGCGGTGCGGAGGTCTGCAGTCATCTTTGGGTTTTGTTAGGTTACCATGAGAACGGTACCTCTATTTTCCCCTAGTGTCTAAACTCTAAACTTGAGAAGCGCTCCGGGAAGGAAGGTGTCCACTGGGGTTTGTGCGTTTCGCGGTGCAGGGTTTTGGAGTTTGGGCATTTTGGATTGTAAGGTGTTTGTTTCATCGGGGGTGGTGAGTTGGGATTGGAGCCGTGGAGCTGGTGTTCGTGTCGAAGGGAGCGGGCAGGTGGCGAGGCAGGATGAATGTTGGCAAGTGCAGCTTTTTGAGCTGACATGTTCACGCCACTAGACTAGGTTCCAAAGATGTCACGGTTGCCTACACGGAACCTTCGGATCAGACCGGTGGATCCAGCGATTGAACCTACAGAGATCGTTAACCCGGGAACAGATGCTGCACTTCCCTCTGCATGTGGTGGACGAGACTGTAGAAGACCTCCTATCTCGGGCTCTTGGGGGTTCCTTTGTCCAGGGTGAGATTCGACCAGCTGCGGTTCCTTGTCTGCAGCATTCACTTGCAACCCTGTTGGCAGGTGGGGCAGCTTCGTTTACGTCGATTATCCAGACTGCGCAGTCATGGATGTCCAGTTGCATGGACGTAACATCACCGATGCAGGCCGGAGTTGCACTGACGGATGTGCAGAAATTCAGAAGTGGAAGCTAGCCTAGCCTGAGCAATGAGGCTGAGGCATCTTTCTCGTACTGTTGGAACCTGGTCCGAAGAAATGGCCACGGGCTGTTTTGCGATTACTTTGGGCCGGGCACCCTGGGCCGGGCACCCTGTGCCCACAACCCTGAAGCGCAAAGTTCGAACAGCAGATGCGCACCCCAAGTGGAGTCTCAGAGTGTTTCCACTGATGTGTTGCCAAATCACCAACCAGTTCTGTTAACGAGTGTGCGAACAATCGCGAAAAAGTGTTTCGGTACTTTCAATGCGTGCGCGGACGACAGGAATGCAGACGTCCAGCCCTGTTGCTGCACCCTTCCGAAATGACGACTGCAGCACAGATGTGAGCCATGCTCAACAGTGCATGTGCGTTGATGATTGCGCGTGTTTGTCAGCCACATCACGTTGTGCACCTGACGATAAACTCCTGCCTGCCAGATTTGCCATCGCTTCTCCGTCACATGACAGAGCGACTGTCTGGTGGCGAAGGATGGATGGACAGCTCCTGAGGATTCTTTGGTCGGTGCTGCAGTGATAGCTGGTGCACTCGAGATGCTCCCGAGGGCTATCAGCTTGACCTCTCGCACAATGCTGGTATCACCGATTTCGGCATATCGATCTACCTGGCTCCGTTTCTCAGGAGCTGAAGAAAGGCTTCCGCCGCACGGCCCTTTGCTGGATTGCATGGATTTCAGGAAGTGGCCGCACTGCCGGGTTCTGAAGCTGTCCGAGACCTCTGCTGGTGACTCATCACTGAAGGCCGAAACCTTCATCCTTGCCAGTTCACTTCGCTTCGCTGAAGACTGTCTTCCCTCTTTTCAGGCACTGGTGGAGTGGGTGTGTCAGGGCCAGGTCGTGGAGTTGAATCTGCCGCCCCTCCGCAAGAGCCTGCCTTCTTTGGCTTCTTCGCTTCGTGCAGAGACGACAGGTCGGAATTGGGTGGGACTCTCTCCAACGACATGGCCATGGCCTCTGTGATCTCGGCATGTGAGGTGCAGAGCAGTGTAATTCGTTTAGGTGTGGAATTTCCTGCAGAAGCTCAAGGACAGGCGCAGGCGGATCATTCTCCGACATGCTGAGTCGTGCTTTAGTTCGACGATGTGTTTCCAAACTGTAGCTTTCATTCCTGCTTGCATTTTCTGGCAGGTAGGTCAATCAAAGGCGCATCCCGTTCTGCAGGCTTCCATATTGGCATCCTTGCGCGAATTCGTCTTTGTGGCTGCGTCTGGACCACAACGACATCGAGAACATCGACCTGCTAGCCGAGAAAGGACTCAGAATGCCGCTGCGTGATAGTGTGCACCTTCAACAACAGCAGCAGCAGGTATCCCCTCACACTTTCTGCCTTCGTTTCGCTTCCCTTCCTTTCCGATCGCCTCTAAAGGCTGTCTGTCGGAGCTTGGCTTGGGCTTCGGCCCGGATTTTGTGTTTACGTTTCGCGCAGGACAGACACTGGCATATCTTCAAGTCTGGGCCAGGGCCCGAGGGCAGGACGAGGACGCGAAGGTACAGTATACAGGCTGATGGAGTGAGCCGTACCAAGGAGAAGGCCGCCAAAGGGTGGACGGCGCGTTCGCAGCAAAAGCCCATTCCTGCACGTCGTGGCCTGATCTTGAAGAGCTACTGCTACATGACTTTCATGCTTCGACTTAACATGAAGGTCCATCTGTGGAAGTGGCTCTCTTCCCAGCTTCGCACGCGAAGGCCGCACGAACTTAGGATTGCTTGGCCTCTTCGTTAGTAGTCAGATTTGTCGTTTTGTTCCAGGAGCGACATGGGGAGATCAAAGCCGACATGCGGAAGCAGCTGCTGTCGATGCTTCACGTTTCTGGACAAGCTCGTCCGGAAGGCTGGGCTCCATCAATCTCTGCAGCCGCCGGTCGCTGGCACTTCTTGCAGGAACCATTCGGGCGCCAATCGTGTTCACGGAAGATGAGTACCGGCTGTGGCAGATGGAGTCCCGTGAAGATGCGGAGAACGGGGCAGATGACAGGAGAGAGAGAGCGAGAGAGGTTCCCTCGAGAACACCTCACTCGCAAGAAACCGCACAGGAACGAGGAGACTTTTGGAGGAGAAGCAATCGCCGCCGGATGGTCTTTCGAGGATCTCGTCACAAATCAAGGCTCAGCACGAACGACATGAAGTGCTACAGGAGAACCTGGCAGCAAATCAACGACTTGCGAAGAGTGACCAAGCCTCGGCAATGGAGCTTCCTGAAGTCTGTTGGAACCAGTGTATTGCCAATGCGGACGTTGTGCACCCCACAGGTTAATCATCCAAAAGTTAGAGTCGTAGGCATTGCCATTCCAAGGGCAGCGGCTGGTCTCAGGAAGCAACGGCAACAACGCTTGAGCTTGAGGCGAAGGCTCGACTAAGCCGGCTCGTTGCCTTGAGATGTTCTCTCTCTCTCTCTCTCTCTGCAGGTGCCTGTGCTGGAGCCGATTCCGGAACCGCCTGCCGCTACCCAGCCCTCGCTTTCAGATGCAAAGCAACAGGTCGAAGCAGAGGCGGGGCAACTTTGCACTTTCTTCGTGCTAAATCCTTGCGTCGTGTTCTATGAGACTTCTTTTGCGTTAACGCCTGGTCTAGCTTAGCACTTTGTGGTCGCGAGAAGAACGGGAGATGCAAAGGGCCATTTGGCATTCCCACAAGCTACCGGTGGAGACCAGCCCTTCTTTTGTTGTTGAAACGGGTGCACGACCCCGCGTGGAACTTCACAAGGATCTTCAGGGTGCCTCGTGAAAAGGCGAAATGCCCGGAACTGCATGTGACACTGCACAACCGTGACACAGTCCCTTATCGGAACAGCCAGCGATGCTGCCCGAAGGAAGTAGAAAGATAATGAAGGAAGCAGTCAGAGTGCATAATTGGACGCGATGAGAACTGACAGAGCTGTCTTCGATCAATGGCTGTCACTTCCGAGCTCGTCGCGAAAGGTCGACTGATTCCTTCTTTGCGCCACTGATAGTTTGTCTCAGGTGCGACAGCTCGTGCGGGATGTCGAAGTGTTGCGCCCCGAAGACTTCAACGGTAAGGCAGTAATAGTCTGACATTCGCTTCAGTCAGTCCACTTCACAGGATGTCCATGTCCGTATTGTCGGCAGGTGAAGCAATGGTTCCATGCGCTCCGCAGCAAGGGCGGTATCGAGAAAGTGACCGAGGCCGCCCCACAGGACGATCTTGGCATGTCCGACACTTGAGCCCCGAGGCTCTGACCTCAATGGCAGAGAAACATGTCGAGATTTTGAAGCGATGTGGGAGGCTACTGCCACACTGCGTCTGATCTTGAAGCACAAGCGTCGCGGAGAAGTCGAGAAGCGTGAGACTCGAAAATCAGATCAAGCACACTCGTCACAAATTCGTGCTGATGGTCTGGTGCTATGCTCGCAAGCCTAAGGTGGTCCTCTTACTTGCGCTCACTTCTGGAGAAGATCCACTTCGGAGACCTGCTGCACTGCCCGACAACAGGCCCCCGGCTCCGCCGGGTTCAGTGCAGTGTGCACAGCAGTGTGCACAGCAGCACGGCAGTGCAGAGTATTCAAGATCTCTAAGCTGGAAGAGCACTGTGGTGCGCAAGGAGAGGTGCACCCGGGCCCCAAGCTGTCTCAAGCCCACGCCGATGCCTCGGAATCCAGTGCCTTTCAGCCTGTAGCGGCTCGCTTTGGTGCTCCAGCCGAGGTCTTTCAGTGAGAGCCTTCTGCCGCGATCTCTTGGGCTTCGTCCGCAGCTCACAGAGTCGCTTGCAGCTGGCAAGCATCGTCCCAATTTGGAGCTGCCAGGAAGCTTCTGTCCTGCAGAAAACAGAGTTATCTCAAACAGAATCGCTCCCTGGCAGGCTCTGGGATGTAGTCTATCGCTCAAGCGCACGTAGCCACAATCCCATTGGACAGAATGGACATTGATTGCCTGATTGCGGATACGTGCTGCACTGTCCATAAACGGCCACGGGGTACTTTTGTCCTTCATGTCTTTGCAGTTCACAATCTCAAGAGCATTTGTAAGCGTTTTTCCTGACACCCTGGCAACATCTGATTTCTTTGCATGACCCTCAAATGCTGAGCGCTGGTCAAACATTGCCGGCGTGTACAGCCCGAGCAACGACGCAGCAGACGCTGTGGGTACGATTGTGTGGCTTGAGAGTTGACTAAATCTCTGTGAGCCAGAGTACGGGTGTAGACCAAATCACAAGCTACATGCGATCCTTTTGGTTCTTATTCAAGCCTTCGTCGCTGCAGTTGCTCTGAAGTCACTTCCTCGTCGATAGATTAACCACGCAGAACCACCGCCATTATGTGCCTTTGAAGAAAAAACATCGAAGCCTTCTGCTTTGGGGCACCTGTGTTGAGCACGGCAAACCCCTAGTTCGCGGCTTGAGATTCTCCCAGTCAGGTTGTCTGAGAAGTGTGCCACGGACTGCACAATTCTGGTCGTGCTGAAGGGCGAGGAGGCAAGACTTGCTGGGACATGTTTGCTTGTATGTCAATGAACTTCCTTATGGCAGCATGTATACTGTCCTCGTATGCGGATTCGGCATGTTGCAAGTCGAAACGGGTTGATCTGTCGGAAAGGTCAAAACTGACAAGATGCTGCAGACCAGTCTTGTCACTGTCGTGGTCACGACAAGCCGCATCAACATGCTGGCAACTTCAGAGCTGTTACGGCTATAGCAGCTGCAGCAGGTATAGCATGGCTTTCAGCATGGTCTTGCTGAAGTTGTTGCTACAAGCAATAGTGACCATGTTGTAGCTGACCTGTCGCCAACACATCGCACTCTGCTTCTTGGAGATGCAAAGCGACGGTCCGTCGGACCCACGGCCTGTACGGGTCAGCTTCGCGTTGCGAACCTGACGGGAGGTTGATCTGCATCAGTAGTCAGCTAGAGGCACAGACATGTAAGATTCCTCGTGCTAGTAGAATGGCTGTCAGCGGTGAGCACTGAGCTGCTAGGTGCTCACAACATGTGCCATCTCCTATCAACCCAGGCGGCACTGAGAGTCGTCACGGAGTCTACTCGCTGTGCGTGTTCTGAGCCTCTAACCGGGAGGCAGAATTCAGAAGCGTCTTCCGTGAGAAGCTGTCGTCTTCTGGAGGCTAGAGTGCGCGGTGACTTATCACAGTTGGGCAACGGATCCGTTTCCGTGGTCTGCGTTGCGATCGCATGCCATGGCTTGTCGTTCTGTTCAGGCGGGAGTACCATCACGTGGCATCCTTGCAGCCAGCACGGAAAAGGTGTGCTACAATTTGAGGACCAATTATCAGCAACAGTGATAAATCCAGACTTTGGGATGGCATTTAACTCCAGGATCTCGGATGACAGTGATGTTGCCATCACAGTGAGCCCGCTAACGGACTGCCGACCCACAGTGGAGGTGCTTGCTCCAGTGGTGTAAACTCGCATCATGGTTTGGCTATCTTAGCAGGTTGCTATGCAGTGTCGATAGTTGCAGGTGATTGCAGATCATTTTTCAGTCTTCTGTGTGCGACGTGTGGGCCATGCTGCTGGATGAGCTGTCCAGGTTACTCAGATGTCTGGCACAACGAAGGTGCTCCCCACAGATGCGCATTTGGGGTCAGTGCCCCAGCTGAAGGATTTCTCTTTTGGCCGTTGAAGCGCGCAGTGAGATCCTGGTAGGTTCGTTTCGAGTATCCTCCGGCACGAACGCGGCGAAGTGCAGAAGGGCTTGCTATCCATTGAGGCAGCGCTGAAGCTACGATCGTGGAAGGGCTGCAAGTTTCGATGGGGATTCGTGACTCAAGATGTCTCTCGTGCAAGACCGCAACGAACAACAGTCAGGGCAGTCACGTTTCATGGCTGATCAGAGTTGGCTTGGCTGCATAATTCCCCTGCGTACCATGGTATTTTGGCCGTTAGCTGCATGTTGCCTGGTGTCGTCCGTTCGCGAAGCGATCTCTCGCGTGTTACAATCGCAACTTAGCAGCTTTGAAGGAGAGCAGAGCCCGGTAGAGACAGGGGTGAGTTCAACTATGCTTGAGAAAAGTGTCTCTACCATTCCTTTAGTGGCACCGGACTCTCGCTTCGAAGATGACTCAAACAACACCTGTGAGTCACGGCGCAGTCCTGCGCCTGCCTTCCCAGTTCTCCTGAAGTACATCACCAGGTGTGCGAACCATGTCGGTTTGCATCCTGTGCCACCGGGCCCTTCGATTCTGCTTGCCAGGCTAGTATAAACCTCAGATTAGAAACGTGTAGATGTCGTTGTTCAGAACGAAGGAGCTGACCTCATCGTCCGCGGTACGGTGAGTTCACCTGAGCGGCGCGGGAATAACCAGGTTCCGACACTAGAAAAGACCTTCTGCAAGTCGTGAAACAACACTGGAACGCTCCTTCAAGGATCTATTGCCCTATATCTTAGCCCAAGACAGCGGGCTTGCCTACTCCGCCTCTCTTCCCTTTGAATGCAAATCAACGCTTCGTGCCGGTGATGATCGTAGCCCTGCTCCGTGACATACGGACATGCGAGCTGCCACAAACTGCTGCAGCATGTAGGAACGCAGCGCGAGCCCTTTTTGACAGCCTCGCTCAGCAGCAGAAAACCAAGATTCAGGTCATGCTTGGATATCTCTGCACAGGCATGACAAGAGCACGACACGTGTTTTCGTGGTGTTGCCTGAACGTCTGGTGCATGACATGAATCCGGGTGAAAAGGCCCCTTTAAATTTCTTTCGGGGGAAGCGCGGCTTAGTTCAGCCTTCTCATCTCCCCCTTTGTTTTTGAGTCCGGGAACTCCACAGTCCCACGCCAAAGCTTCACAGTCCTCGACCCCTTTGCAGTCTCTACAATTACAACTATTCAGAAAGACCGCATATGAGATCCCAAATTAGAAGCTCCAGAAAACCAAAGTTCCAAGGCAGCAAGTCGCTGGAATGCTGGTCGTGCGACTCGGGTCTGAGGTGGCGACTCGAGGATCCTGGTGAGGGCTTGCTTCCAACTCAAAATGCAGCTGTTGCAGAAAGGTCAGCAACAGCCGACTAAGCGCGGACATCAGTGTTCACGGATTTCCCAAAAAGTTTCCCTCCCCAGCTGAATCTTGAAGGATAACACCGAAAAATTCAGGTTTCCGGCTTCCCACATCTTGTACTAGTGTCTGTGCAAGATCTTCTTCCATTGAGGCTTACCTTGAGATGAAGAGATTTCATCCCACGCGCCACGAAAGAGGTCACATGTGACCTCAGCCGGAAATCTTCCTCGTTTTGGGCAGATGCCATCAGAAACTCGACATCCGGTCTGTGACCGCGAGTGCCGTACTGCTGCGCAGGTGTCTTCGGGGGCAGCTTGCCAGGCTGGGTCGGCACTGATAGCGAGGGACGGTGCGGTAGATGAAGATGCATGAGAGTTTCCGTTTCTGTCAAAACTCAGCCTAACTAAGCAGCGAAGTCTTTGCTATTGTTGTGGCAGTTCGATGTCCGAGACGGGGCCTTAACATCGGTGGAGCATCAGGAAGTTTGCAGCATTGGTGGCAGACAAGACTCAGGCACAGATGACCGTTGGGAAGGCAGGTCAGGCATCAGCAGGTCGGACGCCCACCATCGGTGTGTCGCTTTGATGCCTCAAAGCAGCATTGCCAGGTCTCCTTTTCGAAGCGCAGCAGGCCTTGCTCCGCTCAGCCAATGCTTATCTTTCCTGCAAGCACGAAAGAGCTCTGAGTGGAGGTGTTGAGGCTTGACGTGCCCGCTTTCTTCACCACTTCACATAACGCAGGCAGGAGCACGAGGCCAGTCCGTGGCTTCTTGCATCTTCGCCGTGCATCAGGTGCTCGTTCCTTCACCTACACCTCCCAGATACAAACGCCCAAAGAGACGGCGTCACGAGAGTTTCTGCAGGCCGCCGTTTGCCTCTCCACGCAGTGCTGGCGAAAGGGTATGCAGTGACCGATAATCGACTTCACGATTGTCCTTTTTCTCAAGCCTTGCCAGTGTCTTGTGTCGGCATCACTGCAAGCTTGTCTCGGGCAACACGTGGTACTGAACCCCTGACGATTGGTAACTCGCGATATGTCGAGGTCGAAGTGATGGCACTTTCCGGGGAGATCTCGGTTCGCTGCGCATGCCGTGCCAGCTGCTTAATACACTTCATGCCACGTCGTGTGCAGAAGCAGTTTCCTGGTTCGTCGCTACCTTCGCGTACGACACCGTTCCGAGGCTGTCCCTGCAGCAACTGCACACGGGTCTCAGAAGACACTTGCCAAGCAGTCATCGACACAGGGTGCAGTCATTAAGCCAGCTGTATAGATGAGGTGTAAAGTTTAGTGACTGTCGTGGGGCTGTGCCGGCGTGCTCGTTTGTTGGCCACACCATCGGAATGCCGTGCAGCATGTTGCAAGGACATTCGTATCAGATGCCTTGAAGGCCGGCTGACTTTCGATTTGCCTTCGCCAGACGAGACGAGCTGAAAAATCCCCAGGCCCTACATCCGGCGGAAGCTGACTTGAGCAAGGGTTCGAGCCAGATCTACACTTGCCGCGGGATGCGCGAGGCATCTCTTTTCACTACACATGTTGTCGGCAGCAGTCCAACTTCTGGTGAGCTGTCGCTTCTGAGAACGACGGCTCCGAGGCATGTGGCGAGGCGTTTACCTGCTTGATCCTCCTTGTCGTGGAAAGCAAGATGAGAGGAGCCGGGCCAAGTCCATGCCGATTCACTGATCGGCAGGATCTCCTCGATTCGTTGGTCCAGATTGTCTAGCAAAGCCTAAGGTTGGGAGGCCGACTATGTCGTGATGGCCGTGGACAGGACACAGAGCTGCGGCCAGTTTAATTGAAAGAAATCACGACAGCGACAGTTTGCGCAGGAGGACCCGTGAGATGTTGCTCCCCGGAGTTGCCATCGAGAGCTGTGTTGGCCGTGCACCTACGTGCTCAAACATGACCGCCGCTATGTCTGCCGAAATGGCACATCATATCATACAATCCTCAGGACAGCTATGTGCAGGTGGCAGGCCAAGCATCAGGCTGCTATGGACTCGGTGTGTCGCAAAGTTGCCACGCGACACTGGCATGAGAATGGAGGGCCTGTTTCCTGATGTTGACACGGTCAGACAGTAGATGCAAGTCGTAAGAGGTTGACCGCGCCCGAACGAGGACTTGTGTGGAAGCCGCTCTGAACAGGTATCAGCTGTACATCAACAACCCGGGCACCAAAGTGAGCCTTCGTTTCTCGTGTCAAGGTGCCCTCCATCCATGTTATCTTTGTCAAGTACCACTGTCAGTCTGCAGGACGACTGCGGCAAGAACGATGCTCACAGGCGAGGGCATGGCAGCTTTGTGCTTCTGGGTCATGTGTGCAGGTAGCAATTAGACAGATCTCTCCATGGGGTCTTACATTTTGCCCTGGCAGGTTCTACTGAGTGCAGATGCAAGGACTCCAATGCCAGCCAGTTTGGCGGACAGAGCGAGTCTTGGCTGCAGAAAGCGCTACTCGTAGAAGTGGCTTCACTGGGAACGCAGCATTCTGTTAAAAGGTCGAAAGCGGAATCAAGACTTTTCAACTTCTGCTGGCAGAAAACGAGTCGCCAGTTTCGTTTCGTCGAGGTACACACCTCACGAGGCTGCGGAGGCTGGATACATCTCCATGGAGCTGAGAACATCAGTCGAGCAGGACGCAGTGTGAAGCAAGTCCATGATTGAGTGTGAAATCGCGCAGACATGACTGCACCGCATAGACAGCCTCTAGGATTTTTCGGTTTTCTCTTCTTTCTGCGAGGAGAGCGCTCATCCTGGTCATTGCAGAGACCGCCCCTCAGAAGTTCCACAATTGGAGGAAATGTTCGGCTGAGCAAAGAGGCCCCTTGTGTCCTCACCGTCCAAGTAGAGCTTCGGCCAGGCTGGGCCAGGCCATTGAAGGTTTGGGCTGAAGCTGCGGTCTCCTTTTCAAGGCGAGTATGCAGCAGTGGACTTCCAACTCGAAGCGGTCTTCGAGGACTTCAGAGTGAGACGGTTGAGTCCATTCTGAGCAGAGAACCAACGAAGGATGCTTACTCCATACTTCTCGACGGTGGCAAGTTGGCTCCCCACTCTCAAGCACATGAGTCGCGTTGAATGGATTCTTCACAAGTCCCGGAGGCCTCTGCATCTCGTGGCTGCACCAGGCAAGCCAGCTCGGGACTTTGTTTTGACTGAACTTCTTGGTCACCGCAGCGGTACTGTGAAGTGTATAGGCCTTTGACCAAGGAGTACTTCCTGTTCAATACGCGCCAGCAGACGTCGATGTCAACTCTGGCTGTTCAAGGCCCGGCGGGGAGCTTCCTTGTGGCAGCCGCTAGCATCGCTAGCCTGGACGACCCGGCTCCAGGCTCGATAAGTCTTCCCCGAGTTTCTTGGCTCAAGCGGGTATAGACGCCTTTTCATGCGCTCGATTTGTGCGCCAATTCATTTCCTCCACTTGCTGTGTTGCGCGAACCGTTACATGGCACGTGCATGACAGCCACCGTTTGCGGTGTGCCTTCGCATCTGCATCCAACCCCCATGCAGAATCCAGTGCGGCGGTCGACTCGCTCAGAGTCAGCACTGCTCAATTCACGTTTGTGAGCTGTTTGCCGCGCGGATGTTCCAGTTCGAAATGCTGAGAAAAGCATCCGATGAAGGTTCTACCAAAGAAGTTTCGATTACCGAGGACGTGGCCGATGTGGCCAGGCAGCCGCAGGGATTGGCCGCTGGACCGTAGGGTCTGGCGCATCGGATTCGATTCGCAGGTCCAGGATCTAGAGGCTTGGAGTGAATGCCAGCAGTCGAAAAGCGGCGTGCTCTTTGGGTCCAAGTGCATGGTGTGCATGGCATCTGTGCAAGAGTTGAACTTGCAGTTCCCTACGATGCCTCCGACCCAGAGATGGATCTTGCCGCGACCTCTGTTGCCCGAAGTTTCGGTTAGCGAGCATGGATACTGTTGGGCGCCTGCAAGGAAGCGGGTTTGAAGGTTTCACTTGTCTTCCATGTTGATAGCAGAACCCATGTCATGTGACAGTCTTCTAACGAACACCGGTACGGCCGAGATGCTGGCATGTGGTGGTGTCCTCTTCCAACCCAACGTGAACTCATTTTGCCGTTGCTGTGAAGCGTCCCAGCCGAGGTGAAGATGTTTCTCATGGAATGCGGCCAAGATGGCAAGGATGACAAGAAAGGGCGGTGGATGAACAGCTTTGCGTAGTGGTGAAGCGTACCGGAGGATTCCAGCATCCACGATTCCGTGATGCCGTCTCAGCAGAGCCACAGGCCAACGATGCGGGATACACAGAGAGTCGCAGCAGCACCCTTCCTTGCCGTTGAATTCTCATGCCAGTCAGCGCGGAGTCGTCAGTTCACGCTGGCAGCTCCTGGCATTGGTGGTCCTGCAGCCGTGGTTTCACACTTCAGACTTCAGGCAATCAGTTTTTCTCAGAGTGTCAGAGCCAGGCACACCGGTCCGAAAGCCCAGGCCAGGCGGCAGGCCAGGCGGCCGGGCTTCGGATGAAAAAGAAGAGCAAAACTCGAACGCTTCGATGCTCATAGGTTCATGTCACGGGGTGACCGTGGCAATCATCTCGCACCGTACCCAGGCTGTACCGCCGGTGCCCAAGTTCAGTTTGCACACCTGCAGCCAGCATTGTTCCTGTGTGCGAAGGATTGCCATTCGTGGGTATGGATGGCATCCAGGCGAGGGCACCATCTCATCCCGGCCGTAAGGGAAACACAGGGCATACGACAGTCGGCCTCAGGCACACCACTGATGCTCGGCGACCCGCTGGAGGGAGTGCTTGATGGAATTACCCTTAGTGGTCCATTCTGGCAGCCCTCACTACTCTCACCGAGAGATATCACCACGAGGATCTCGCAGCCTCAGCTATGAAGTCGTGCCTGACGAGAGCGTGGAGGACCGGTAGACACGAGAAGGGCAAATAACGATGTCGGCAAAGTGAAACACACAGGTAGACTGTACGGTAGACTGAGGACTGAGTGTGTTTGTTTTGTAGACTTCCCGACTTAAGGACGTCGTGCTGGATCTCGAAGCTTCGAGCACAGCATGTTGTCTCAGGTGCTATGACTCTGAAGCTCTGATCGAAGACCTCCTTCCCGAGGTTTGTGCAGGCAATGTGTGGCTTCAAACCGGGATCCGGCCGGGCAGTAAGGCCTAAGCAAGTGCAATCATCAAGCAGTGCGGATGCATTCCCGAAGAAGCCCGTTGAATTTGCCCTCTGCCAGACAAGCAGTGGAGCGGGTACTGGCCTTGGCGCAGCGCACAGTAGAAGTGTTGGGAGCTGTGGCAAGCGCCTCGAGGTGGGCACAACCTGCTTGGTGGCATCTCGCGTGTGAAAATGCCTCTTAAGATGAACGAGTGGGTACAGGCACAAACCGTCGCTGGACAGACATCTGTCCGATTCACCAGCCTGTCACCAGATATCGTCCACGGACGGGCGCTATGCGCGCTATGTCCTCACGGTTCAGGATGCTGCGGCATAATCCGTTCACTTGGTTCGCTGCAGCTCTCACTCATCAGAGACCTTAATTGGTTCGCTGGAAGGATGCTGGCGATGTCACATGGCTGGATGCTGAAGACCTCCAGAGGTTGGGCAAAACTGTCGACTTGACTCGACTGCCTGTGTGGCTACCGGCGTGCTGCATCCCCCGGTGTAGAACAGCTCTGCGACACTTCTCCAACCAGCTTGGAGGTCCGTGCTGGTGGCAGAACGTTCTGGCGGCGTTCACGTCGCCTGAGTCTCAGAAGGTTCTGCCAGCTCGGTCTGTGTTGCGATGAACTGGAGAGTTCTTGAGCGGAGGACTGGCGGGCAGCGAGTCTCTTCGGTCAAGGCCAAGTAAGCTTTGTCATACTCCGTTTCAGATTGTGATAATTGCTGGGCTATCTTCCCACCCCGATGTCGCTCATGATCCGCACAGGGCTTGCAGTGTATTGTGGCCATGCGGAAACGAGCGTACGAGCACGTCTTTGCATTTCCAGCCAACCGTCTCTCCGACTCTCCATCTCTCTCTCTCTCTCTCTCTCTCTCTCTCTCTCTCGCTCTCCTGGCACCTTCAGAACCTCTCTGTAGTCGATTCTCCTTCGCGGTCTAGATTCGAATCTTTTCTGTGGCTGTGTGACCACAGCGCGGCCTTTGCAGAGGGTAACGCTGACATGAATTGTAAAAGGATAGGTACATGGGGCGGCTGAGGACCACCTAATAGAAGGGGCACACTCATCGATGCCCATGGCGTGGACTGCCCCCTTGTGCCCATGATGTTCTGAATGGATTCCTGACCCGTGTCTCAGCAAGCGTCTTCCCTACCCCGTCAATCGGCGTACCCTAGGCCGTGACACACCGGCTGTGAGGTCACGATATAGATCCGCGTGCTCGGTACGAGGCTGATGGCACAGGAAAGGGGAATGTCCGTGTGCAACATGCTACTTGCATGCTTGCCATCGGAGGTCTTCTACGGCAGGTTGGACAAGCTATCTTCGAACATCTCCACTGCATGTGGACTTTATCTGGAGTCGCTGAGCCAAAGCAGAAGTTAAGTATCGGTTGGCCAGATTCTTCTAGATTCTAGACGGTGACTCGGTGCTGCGGCTTGTCGGCTGAGGCACTCACTTCGTAATGCGAGGAGGATCGTCGTCGACGCGGCAACCGAAGCGCTTATCGAGGCAAGGAAAGCATCGCAGCTCGAACGTCCAGAATATACCACCCTTTGTGTCAAGGACTTGCAAGCTGGCCATTATGTGGTAAACGTGGTTGCTAGGACAGGAAGTGACGCAGCTGCACCGCCACAACGATCATGGAGTGGAAGCCTTCTGCAAGGAGTTTGGCAACTGGCCACGTTGTCGCCTACCAGCCCTGGGTTGGCGATCTCGGCGATTCAGTCAGGAAGCACTATAGAACCATGCAGAACCCCTGCACATCCGGGGCTTTTGCTAAGCCCAAGCAGGACTGGGGCGGTTTCGGACCGGAAAGCATCCTCTGGGCCTGCGGCCAAGGACACGGAACTCACTAGACAGCCAATGCGCGGTTCAGAGGTTCTGGCCTGACTGGCCTCTTCCAATCCTGGTGCTAGTGGGCAGCCTGGTAGTATGCGCCTCAGAAGAGATTCCTTGTTTTCGCTGGTCTTGCGAGACATTCTGGGGAGGCATGGCAGCTCTGCACAGCCCTCAGCCGTTATGTCTTCAGCCAGACAGGCATGAGTTTGTTTCAGTCAGGCAAAGGCAGTGCAAACCGCTTGCCGCCGTTCAGCTTGGAGTTGCCCTCCTGGAGGAGGCTTGCATACCCTTGTGAAGCGGCGATGAGCTAGTGGCGATTGCGTGGACGTCTGCCAGTTCTCCACAGCACTACCAAAGCCTGGACGGTTCCCTTCACAGACTTTGTCTGGCTTCACGTGGCGGAGTGAACAGCAGGGACAGCTCTGTCATGCCTCTCGTATAGCACCAAGGCCGTGAGATTGGTGGGCGCTACATTCCACCGGCCATTGTGGAAGCCTCAGAACCAGAACGAACAGACGTAGACAGTAGACGGAAAGCCCAAGTTTCGCGTAGATTTTAGCTGTTGCTTCCCGAGTCTCGATAAAAGGGCGGAGGGTGGAAGTCCGTGGGAGGACACCTCACCTGGCCAATCCACCATGGACGGGTGCACACTTGCAGGGAGTTTCATCCTCCAAGATCGAAGAAGACGAGCCAAGCCTCAATGCGGGATGGCCACTGCGGCCAGGATATTGATCACAGCTCAGAAGGATTCGAAGTACACCTTTTCAGCAGAGGGACGTGCGGTATAAGAAGACGAGTGTCTTTCGAGCAGGGTGTCGCCCGCCTTGCATGCATTGGTGAAGAAGAACATACTACAACCGAGTGCGAGAATGTGACGAGAAGATGTTAATGCCATGGCCATGTCGTGACACCTTAATCGCGATAAGTCCTGGTGCAGTGAGCCTGGATGGAGCGGTCCTCTGAGTGATGTGCCTCTACGCTAGTAGTCGGAAGCTGGCACAGACGCCGCTGTACATTGTTGTACATATCGTCTTTCGCGGGATCGTTCAGCCATCTCCCATGCGGAGTAGGCAATCGATAGCCTGCTGAGACTGATCGATTTCGAGAGATATTTGTCCAACTCCTGCTCTTGTCTTGACTTTTCATGAAATCGCGCAGCTTTAAGTTTCGCTTGAGATGCAGCTATTGACGAGGAGGCTGTCTCGCAGCTGTTCTGGCTCTCAGGGCAGCTCCGTCGATTCTTGATGGACGAAGTCCACTTCAAGCTCTCCTAATGCAGACCTATCTTTCGATTGGAAGATGTGCTGCCATCATCGCAGCATCAGTGCTGGCAGTTGAAGCTGCCAAGGCCACGTCTCTGTCAAGCCGGGCTTCCATGTTGCGCAGTCTCACTGGTGGCGACAAGCTGCCCATCAGCCTGGAGAATATTGAGACCGCGTTGCTTGCGCTTGAGAAGCAGCGAGGAACACCCGGACTGAGGAATACCGTCACAGAGATTCACAAGATGGTGACACACATGGAGATGATGGTGCAACAGCAAGCACGGTTGACCCAGCAGACCCTCGACCAGGCTTGGTCTGATTTCACTTCTTGCAAAGGGCTCTACGAGGCTGGCTCACACTCAGACCTCCAATCTGTGGAGAGTCTGGCAAAGGATCACGCCGCTTGCCGCCTTGAAGAGTCCAGTTCGAAGATTGAGCTGGAGGCTTGTGAGAGCGAGCTGACAGCAAGATCTTCAAGTGAAGTGCAGCGGAAGAACGAGTTTGATGCCTTGAACAAGTTTCCAGCTAGTGGCTTTTGCAACCACCGCGCCAATTCACACGAGTACGCAACGGTGAGGGGCTACATCAAGCACTTTCGAGATCATTTCGCTTCGCACCTGAACTCATGGGAGAATGCGTTCAATGCCTCAAACACTGCGACCAGACTAAAACTGGAGAAGTCTCGCGAGTGTTATGGTGGAGATCAGACGCGTGATGGGAAGGGCGGCAAAGATGCTGCCTACAAGAACAAGAAGCTTAGCTGCCAGAAGCTGCAGGCCAAGCTTGAGGATGCTGCATGTGATCGAATAGCTCACAGAACCGACTGTGTCGCGTACGTGATGTGCTATCAATCCAACCACAAAGCCTTCTTCGATGCTGGCCAGGCAAAGGAAACTGCACTCCTGCAGTCACAGAAACAGCTCACGGAGTACCGTGGTCTTGGCAGAATTAAATGTGTACTCGATGCCTATTCGAAGTACGAAGACGGTGAGTCGCTGACGCAGTCCATTGCGGATTGTCAGAAAAAAGATGCCGACCAGACCTTCTTCCAGATTGAACTTCCTGATCAAAAGCCGGGTGCCATGCCTGCGAACAACACGGGCTGCCTGAGCCAGAATTCTGCGGAGAAGCCAGGCACCTTGCCCAGTTCATGTTGCTATGTTACTAGTAGACCAGAACACTGTGTCGCATTGTAGAACTCTCAAGTCCGGCTCAGGCACCCAAGCATTTTCAGAAGAGATGTACAAGAACCTTATTGGTCCGGATGAACCTGTTCATTGGGACAACGTGAAAGACGATGTGCTGACATGTCGCAGACCCAGCGATGAGCTTGTTGGGCATGTTGTGCACACATGACCGTACAGCACTTCACGTCATACACGCACACAGCATCATGCGTGCGAACTACCCAGGCAGGGGAAGATGCTGCGCATCACCTGCTGAAGCCACAGTGTAGTAATATGGTTCGGACGTGACAGCACTCATTGTGCCGAACTGCAATGCAACCAAAAGGGGGTCAATCACATATTGAATATTCCTAGACATATATGAGAGAGAGGCCTTTGGGGTCTATTTAACACACCGCACAGACAGCTTGATCAGATAATTAAATAAACTAAATAAACAAAATCGGTAAACCCAGCTTTGATTATTAAATTAGTTTCTGCTGATTTACTTAAATAAACAAAATAAACAAAATAGTCAAACCGGTTTTTGCTGATTTTGATTATTTTATTTATTTTGTTTATTTAATTATGAAGGCCGGGTCGGTTTCCCGGGCAAGTGAATTTATTTTGTTTATTTTATATATATTATTTATTTACTTCAAATAAACAAAATCAACAAAATAAATAAAATCTGCAAACCCAGTTTTGATTATTAACTATTTTCTGCTGATTTACTTAAATAAACAAAATACGCAAAATAAACAAAATAAAATAAAATAAATTTAATTGCGCGGGAAACTGACCCGGCCTTTAGAAATAGAAAAATAAATACACAAAATATACAAAATAATCAAATCGGTTTTTGCTGATTTTGATTATTTTGTTTATTTTGTTTATTTAAATATGAAGGTAGGGTCAGTTTCCCGGGCAAGTGAAT